ACAGAGCTGGACCAAACGACGAATGAGGTTGGATTGGCCCAGGAGGCTGAGCTGTGCTTTGATGGAAGGAGGGGGGGGGGGGGGGGGGGGGGGGGTTAGCGGGCTAGGCTGGACGTGTTGTTGCTGCACGCGTCGTCGAAAGCGGAAAGGTGATGATGATGGCAATGATAATAATAAAAAGTCGCAGGTGGGTTTTGTTGATAACCTTCTCCTTCTGAGGTGGACAGGACGACGAACAATTTCACCACGATGGTGAGCTGACTGCTTTTACCGCGGCGGGCGTTGTTGGTGGCGTGGTTGTCCCAACTTTCTGACAGCTCTGTCACTCGTCCGAGGCTTGGATGCTCTCCCGCCCGCCTAACATCGGTTCTGCATTATTACCGAAGCTGACAACCAGTCGTTATGAGGCTTTGGCTCCGAGCTCCACAGGCCCTTACTAACCTGCATACGCCACAACGACAATCATTTTCACGACGTATCATAGCGTGCTCGTTTTTCACTCGCTCGAGTACTCGTACCAAACAATCACATATGAGAGAACACCAAAATCGAAAAGGGACGCCGTGCAGAGACGACCAAGACATACAGATACAGCCAGTGACGATGCTTACTACTACTAGGACTATATCGGGGGAAAAGGGGAGGAGGGCCTTGGCCTTCCATGTACAGAAGTGTATTTTTTTTTTCAAACATTAAAAAGAAAGCGCGTTTGGCGTAAGGCTTTGCAAAAGAAGAACCACCCCCGTATGTTTAGGTGTGGGAGTGGGTTTGTAACAACATTGTTCTCGGGTAAGACATTCTCTGAACCTCGTCAGGGGTCGAGTCCGAGACTCGCCACACCGACCTCAGTGACACAATGTCTAGTACTCGGCCTCGAGTTCCTCGTCACCCAGCGAGTCGGCGGCCACCTCCTCGTAGTCGCGCTCGAGGGCGGCGAGATCCTCGCGGGCCTCGGAGAACTCACCCTCCTCCATACCCTCACCGACGTACCAGTGGACGAAGGCACGCTTCGAGTGCATGAGGTCGAACTTCATCGACAGAGAAGACCAGGCCTCGGCAATGGCGGTAGTGTTGGAGAGCATGCAGCTATCGAGATTCAGAGTCAGCAACGCGTTCCCGTAAGGCATTCCGGGAGCTCCATCTCCTCCTGCAGAGAGGACGTGGGTCCTTCTTGGGACCGGGGGTATCTGAGCAAGGTGGGACTTACACAGCGCGGTCAACCTTGGCGAGGTCACCGTTGGGGACGTTCTCGGGAGCCTGGTAGCAGATACCAATCTTGAAACCGGTAGGGCACCAGTCGACGAACTGGATCGTCTGCTTGGTCTTGAGGTGGGCGACGGCACCGTGAGCGTCCTTGGGGACGACGTCACCACGGTACAGCAGGCAGGTGGCCATGTACTTTCCGTGGCGGGGGTCGCACTTGACCATCTGGTTGTTGGCCTCGAAGCAAGACATAGTCATCTCCTGGACAGAGTTGGCCTCGTGGGCGGCCTTGGCGGCCGAGATGACGGGCGAGTACGCAACCAGAGGGAAGTGGATGCGGGGGTAGGGGACCAGGTTGGTCTGGAACTCGTTGAGGTCGACGTTGAGGGAACCGTCGAAACGCAGCGAGGCCGTGATGGACGAGACGACTGCGAGGGGGAGCGTCAGTCTACCAGACTGCAGAGGGGCATGGACGGCCATTGCCGTCCTTTTGCGCGTGTACGTGTGCGTGTGTGACGAGTAACAGGTATTAAAATAAGCAAAAAAGACTTACCCTGAGCAATCAGGCGGTTCAGGTTCTCGTAGTTGGGGCGCTCAAGGCCGAGGTTACGGCGGCAGATGTCGTAGATGGCCTCGTTGTCGACCATGAAGGAGCAGTCGGAGTGCTCGAGGGTGGTGTGCGTCGTCAGGATCGAGTTGTAAGGCTCGACGACCGAGGTGGCGGTCTGGGGGGCGGGGTAGACGCAGAACTCGAGCTTGCTCTTCTTGCCGTAGTCGACGGAGAGACGCTCCATGAGGAGGGCACCGAAACCAGAGCCGGTACCACCACCGAAGGAGTGGAAGACGAGGAAGCCCTGGAGACCGGCGCAGTTGTCGGCAACGCGGCGGATCTTGTCCAGGACGGTATCGATCAGCTCCTTGCCGACCGTGTAGTGGCCACGGGCGTAGTTGTTGGAGGCATCCTCCTTGCCGGTGATCATCATCTCGGGGTGGAACAGGTTGCGGTAAGGACCGGTGCGGACCTCGTCGACGACGTTGGGCTCGAGGTCGCAGTAGATAGCGCGGGGAACGTGCTTGCCCTGGCCTAGAGATCACACACAAAAGAACGAGGTCAGATCTCTCAAATCTAGATACGGCACGAGCCACAGAGGGCGTCCAGAAAGAAAGAAGGAACAGGCAACGTACCAGTCTCGGAGAAGAAGGTGCTGAAACCCTGGTCAGGGTCCTGAGCCTTGCGCTCCTCGGTGAGGTAACCATCAGGCTAATCATTCTGAGATCAGTATTCCTGCTGCAACGCTCGGTAGGGCCGGATCAAGAATCGGTTCGTTACCTGGATACCGTGCTCGAGGCAGTAGAGCTGGGAGTAAGGTCAGTACGACGCGTTTCGGACAGGCATTTCCAGCGGAGTCTCCATGAGGGGCGGGGATGTTGATCACTTACCTCCCAGCAGGAGTTGGCAATCTGGCAACCAGCCTGGCCGACTGTGATGATGGCAAACGGTGATCAGTAACGTCTTCCTTCAGCCAAGACTCGTAGATGATGACGAAGATGCCCTCCCGCCCGTTCCCACAAGGAGAACTGGTGACAGAAAGAGGACAGCCGAAGTCAGAGGGCTTGGACCTACCGTTGATGCTGATAACCTCACGCATTGTGGATCGTCTACGTACGTATCTCGACGGGTTTGGAAGGGGGGGTGGAGGGAGGGGGGGGAGGAGAAGAAGAAGAAGAAGAAAAAAAAGATATGGAGGGCGGGGTGGGTAAGAGTAGAAGAGAAGACTGAGGTCAACAAAGCTTCCGGAGCTGCTAGCCCAGACAGGTTCTGTTGGAAAGTGAAGAATGGGAGAGGGGTGGGTAAGGCAGAAAAGAAAAAAGAAGAAAAAAAGGGAGAAAGAAAGACAAAAGGCAGTCGACGGATAAGAACGACGCTTTCTGCGAGTATGGGACGATGAGTTAACGAAATGAGGTTCGGAAGAAGAGGTGGGCAAAAAAGAAAGGAAGAGGGTCTCTCTCTCGTTGGGACACGCTGCTGGGAAAGAAAATAATAGGTGGGGGAAATTGGGGCGCGCAGGGGGGGGAGGGGGAGGGAGGGGTGCTGCTCTCCTCGGGTCGGGTCCCTAGGCTGCTGGGCTCTCTCTCTCTCTCTCTCGCCCCCGTCGGTCAGTGGTCACTATCGTAGGTGCCTGCCCGTCCATGGGCATTGCACACCACCTTAGCTAGGCACCTATATGCAAATGAATCTGGACAGAGCCTGGCAGCAGCAACAGGGCTTCGTGCCTATAAGCTTCCACTATTCGCCATGAGCTTTCCGCTAACGATCCCTCCCCCCCCTGTTGGGTCAATGCTAGTGCATGCACGTACAAGTAGCACATACGAGAGTATAGTATTAACGGGCTGTTAGTAATAACACGAGCATCGGTTTATACGCCATAATACATGTACGGAGCAGACTGGCTTGTACGAGTAGGTCGTCCCACCTTTTTACTAGACCGGCCGGGATTTGTCGACGTCCTTGGGACCGTGTCTTTCATTGGTAAGCGCGTCTTGGTGGTTCCTACTCCCCCGACTCACCGCTGGTAATCATAATATATATATGTACGGAGTGCATGTAATTGGTGGCGCGGAGTATTATTACTAGAGCCTAGAGGTAATGGATGATTGCAATCTGTACACATACTGTATACATGTACAGATACTTGTAGGCTATTACACGTCGCTCGCTCTGGCAGCTGCGAGAGCCTCTCCACCGCCTTCTGTCTGTCCGGTCGGTGCCCGGTGTGTTGCCCCCCCCCCCCCCCCCCCCCCTGCCCAGGTCTTGATTGAATTGACAGGGGTACCATACCCGTAGGGTCTAGCATTATTTCTTCTCTCCGTTATTTCTATCTCAACTTTTTATTATTGAGTCATTCACCGGATGGCGAATTCGTTATTTATCATTATTGCTACTCCCCCTAATGATTGGAACAATCCTCCGTAATAAACTGGTAGTGCTGGTAGTATTATTATCCCTTCATGTCTTCATGTCCGTGTGCGTCTGCTAGTGTGTGTGTTTTCCCTCCCCCTCGAAGCAGTGGAAACGACGCGTTGCTACGCTGGTCAAATCACAGAGCGCCACCCCCTTCTCCCTGGACCCATAAGTACGGAGTACCTACGTGTTAGGTAGCGACGTCAGCTGCTTATGAGCGACTACGGAGTTGATACTTGGCATAGGCGTTCCATGTGAGAGTGAGAGCGAGAACTCCGATCATATGTACCATTTTGTGAGTACGAGTATTACCGTATATTGCGATATGTCGGAGCGCAGCATAATCGGTGTGATATCAGAGAATATGTAGAGCAGGGACAAGAGGAGACAGATAGAAAGAGAGAAAGAGAAGAGAGAAGAGAGAGAGAGAGAGAGCTCGTGCAAGACACCAGCCATTGACAAAAGCGTAAAGGGGGGAGGCGACTTGCCAAGACGAACCCTGTTGTTTTGTTTTGTTTTCTGCCCCGGCCGACCGCCAAATAAACATTTGATACAAACAACAACAGCAACAACAACAACGGGGTGGCACTTGAGAAAGCCCCGCAACCAGCTCCGATTGCAGTAGGTCCATAACTGGGTATGACTGCATACTACGAGTACGATCGACATCTCCATCACCACTCTTTATTGTGACGGTGATTCAGTGAGGGGCACCAAGAGAGAGAGAGAGAGAGAGAGAGAGAGAGAGAGAAAGAGAGAGAGAAGAGGGAAAGGAAAAGAAGAAAAAAAAGAGGGGGGGAAACAAGGTGGACGCCATGAAGCTCCCGTTCCGATTCCCAACTCTCCTCGTCCTCCCCACTCTCCTGGCAACGCTGGCCGTCGCCAACGTCGAAAAGGTCATCTTCCTAGGTCCTCCGACCGTCGAGGTCCCCAGCCAGAAACCCACCCTGTCCGATCTTCACCTCGACACCCTGACACCTGAGACGACGACGTCGTCGGCCGTACGTACCGAGCTAGACCGCGTCTTTCCGTCAGAGTCGGAGTCGGGGTCGGGGTCGGGGTCGGAGTCTGGACGGGCAACCTGGCTCTTGCTAAGAGGGCTGACCGAGGGTCAACGGTATGAGGTCCGGGTATGCTGGTCTGCCATGGTATGTCTTCTTCAGTTCTTTCTTTTTCGTACCTATCCCTTCTTTCTCTCACGCAACAATGCATACATATATATATGCAATATGATATATAATACACAACACACACACATGCACACGTGCACACGTGCCACAGCCCATTGTAAGCAACGCACACGCACATGCTCAACTTCCACAGGAACCAACCGCCTTCTCCCTCGACGTCTACGACTTATCAACGGTGTGGGACACCCCGGACCTCATCCAATCTCTAGCCGCATACGCCACATCACGACTCGAGTCCGAGACGCACCACCCTGCCCCGGAGGGGAAGGAGACGAGCTACGGGGAGGAGATGAGACGAGACCCGAGGGAGGGGGAGTCAGTCCTGCTCCTCCGCGTCCTCGCCGCGGCAGACTACTACGCCGACGACGCCGACCTGATGGCCAACCCGCCCCCGGTGTTGGTCGACCTCATCCTCGACCCGTTCCTCCTCAACGTCCTGCCGCGCTCCCTCGCCCCGACGGTGGGGTACGTCGTGGCCGTGGCCATTGCGACCTGGTTCGTCGCCAGGGGTTTGGCATCCCAACTGCGGACGTTTGCCATCACCCGAGAACAGCGGGGGTCGAAAAAGGATCAATAAGGTCATGTCACCCAACCGGAGCCATCCGCACTACTTCTTCTGCGCAACGTCATAAAAGTGAAGTCAGCAAAGAGGAGCACATATTTCTTTCTAACTTCACCTTGCCGAAGGTCATGAGTGTTTGTATGATATATATAAAAGGACGACATTCATAATACTGCAATCGGGCAGCCTCTCTACTCTCTCTACATAATGCGTCCGGACACCTATGACATTTCTGGGCTGTGGTTTCCGGATTTGATGCTTCGACGTTTTGTTGTCATAAATTCATGCGTCTTCGTAGACCTTTCAAATGATATGAAACATATCTGGGAAGTAGAAACAAAAAAAAAACAAAAAAAACAAAAAAAGGAAAACATATCTCGAGGTCGAAAAAACAAAAATAAAAAGATGGAGCGATAAAAATTGGAAGAAGAGGACGACAGGGGAAACACATCAAGACATACATGGAATATATGACCCAGAGCGAGGGGTATTTTATCATGTATCCGTCCAATAAGCTGTCAATATACAGGCCAGTCTGACAAGACCTCGGACATTCTTCTATCTTGAGGGGGCGGAGAGATGGACAATTAATGCGATAAGATAAAAGAGAGGGGGGGGGAGGTATAAATGGAGCAAGGGAAAAAGTTTGTAAAAGAGAGAGGAAAGATCAGTACGGCGCCCCATACCCATGCGGCTGCTGCTGACCGTACGGCACATGTCCTGCCCCGCCAACGTACTCGTACGAACTACCGTGGCCGTGGCCGTGGCCGTGGCCGTGCTGGCCTTGGCCCTGGCCCTGACCCAGGAAGCCGCCGCCGCCGCCACCGTAGGGAGAGGGTGCACCGCCGTACGTGCCGGGGGGAGGCGGGCCAGGAGGGGGGCCGGGGGGAGGCGCATACTGCTGGTGGTGAGAAGCACCGGCGCCGTAGGAGGGCTGCTGCGGCTGGTGATGCTGCGGGTACCCCGCGTGCTGGGGAGGCGGGGCGTGCTGCGGGCTGTGCGACGAGTAGTGGCCGTACGGTGACGGGGCACCGGGGCCCGACGATGGCGTATAGTGGTGCGACGAGGTTGGCGACGCCACGTCGCTGGACGGGTATGCGTGGTGGGGGTTGGAGGCGGTCGAGGATGAAGATGGCGGGGGCATGGAGCTGGACGCGTGGTGGGACGAGGAACCGCCGACGGCGGCGTGGTACGTGGGTGCTTGGCCAGAGTAGCCGCCGTTGGACCCCGAGTTGGAGTATCCGTAGTCTTGGTTCTAAGGGAAGAGGTAAGCAGGTGTGGTGGAAGGGGAAGAGAAGGGAAGAGGGGTGACCGGGAGAGGAGTGGAGGGGAGGGAAGAGAGAGAGAGAGAGAGAGAGAGAGAGAGAGACATACAGATACAGAGTGACCGGGCTTCCCACCACCACCGAATATGCTGGCGACACCTCCCATGACAGAGCCAGCCAGACCACCCTGCTGCGCCGACGAGGAGCTGTGTCCGCCGTGGTAGTTCTGCGGCTGCTCCGGCTTGCTGCTGCTGTGGTTGGCGCTGGAGAGGAAGCTGGAGGCGAGCTGTCCGACGATCTTTCCGGTGGAAGAGGTCGACGTCTTGCCGTGGGAGGAGGAGGAGCTGCCACCGAGGAGCTGACCGGCCAGGGCACCGAGGGGATTGCTGCTGCTGTTGCTGTTGCTGTTGCTGTGTTTGCCGGAGCTGTTGCTGAGGAGGGCATTCATGGCCATGTTCTGTGGTTATTTTATCTTGTCAGTTCAGCCATCAATCAATCGATCGATCATTCATTTACTCATTCGGTCGATCGGTCTTGTCAGGTTTTGGCTCTCTGATGGGGGGGAGGAGATGTAGGAGGAAAGGAAGAAGGACGTACACCCAGACCTCTGTCCCCATTGGGACCGTCAGCAACACCCCTCATATTCTCGGGCAAGATAGGTTCCATTGTGCCGTCGGGGTGTCGAACGGTCTGCGATCCGTCGGGGTGGGTGATGAGCTCCTGGCCGGGAAGGAGCTGATGCTGCGATAACGGAGCAGACGACGAGGCGGCCCCAGGCGTCCCAAAGGGATGATCTGTGTTATGGGCTGGGGTGTTTCCCGTCTGGACGGCCTGGGTGGGCGTATCCCATTGGGAGACGCCGGTAGCGAGCTGGACATAGTAATACTTCTTGCTCGAGCCATCCCACTGCGCGATCCAGCCTGCGGGGAGGTGTGGCGGGGCAAACGTGGGACCTTCGGCACTGGGTGTAGTCGGACCAGCCATTCTGGGTGGTTTGGGTTGGAATTATCGCTCTCGCTCTCTCGCTCTCTCTCTCTCTCTCCCTAGGTTGAAATGTGAGGGTGTGGTGCGGAGAGGCTGGGGTGTGAAGGGATAATATTGTAGCGGTGGTTAAGAGGGAGAGTGAAAAGAGGAAGAAGTTGGTGTGGAGAGGTAAAGAGGGGAGTTTGGTGTTGGAGGGTTGAGTCGAGGGTAAATGAGAGAACCAGGAAGAGGGGACGAGGTGAGGGGGGGGGGCTGGAGCGAGATGGCGCGCTGCGCTGCTTGATCCGGATGGAAAGTTGCCAAGTTGCAGCAATGAATCGATCAATGAAATAAACGAACTATCATGGTTTATTACGGTGATAGAGGTAGAGAGAAACAGAGGACAAGACAGAGAGGGATATTTTACTATCTTAACCATAATAATAATACTACGTACAAACCCAACCAGTGGTGAGCCACCCACAGCCTATACCAGGCCTATGCGATAAGTATTACAGCCAGCCCATAGCACTTCACCCTTGACCCCCCCCCCCCCCCCCCCCTCCTCTCTTACTGAAGATCCCTCAGAAGTGAGGCCAGAAGGGGAAATCATTGCAGCGCGGGGAAATGTTATTCCAAACAATTGAACTTGTTATTACAAAAAAAAAAAAAAGTGATTAATACTACTATTAAATATTACTAGATTAGTGGTAAGTGGTAGCAGTATCACGGGTATTGATATCGTAGTAATACTAACTAAAGAGGTAGCGCTGTATTATATTACATAACATTCAACAAGAACAGACCAAGCTCAGTTCCCAGTCCCTCCTTCGGCCAACCCAAGACATCATCATCCAGCCTAAGCCTATCAAGTTACTAGATGGAGGGGGGGGTGGGGGTCTTGTATATGATCATATGATTATGACCTGAACATGGGATAACTTGGTAACCCAACTACATAGGTCAATCATCCGAGGCGAGAGGAGCCTGATGTTGGCGGCGTCGTCTTCTTTCCCCTTGGCAGCACGTCCCTGCCTACTTCGACTGAAGGAGACAGAACTCGATTGCGAGCGATGAACCCACCCACCAACCTCCATCACCAGGACCCTCGTCTCGCTTGCTCTCCGGTCGGGAATGATGCGGGTGGCATGGTTGGATCGGGACCCGGATCGATTTCTGTCAAGAGTCCAAACTCAACCGGCCAGCCACCCAGAACCCCCAAGAGTCCCCGAGTGATACGAGACTTTCCAAGCCGCGCACTGCACGAACGCCACGAATCAAAGACATGGGCAGGGACGGAAAGAAGGGACGTCGGTTGACGTCCCCGTGCCGTCTTTCCAACTGTTGGGGGGGGCAGTGGTATCTTAGCAGACCTCTCGACCTCTGTACGACAAAGACAGTACACCGGAACGAAGACCTGCTGCCACACTTCCGCACACGGTAGCTTGTTTCCTCTTCACGTCCCCTTCACTGTCCACTCCCTCCGGTGTCCTTTGCCGCACCGAGCTGACAATCGCCCGGGCTCTGCTCCAGATTGGGTCGCAAAGGTCTCTGTGGCAATACGATTCGAACAGAGGTCATTGAAAATGAGCGTCTTATTGTTGCTGTACTGTTTACCAGAAGCTCCTTTTCGGGACATGATGAAGGGAGAGAAGAGAAGAGGAAGAAAGACAGAAGAAGAAGAAAAACCCCAAGCATGGCTAGTATGCAGCTCCCTGAAAAGAGACATATGACGGAAGAAAATAACCATGAAAGAATCGATCGAAAAGAAGAGAAAGAGGTATATACAGATAATCATTTCATCTCTCTTGAATAATATGAATGAAATGAGAGTGAGTTTCTCATGTCGGCCCGTACCATACCATGCCCCAACCGACCAGTCTTCTACACCCCCAGAGGACAAGGACATGAGGAAGAGATGCGGATATGTATTCACATCTCCCCGAAAGGGTGAATGAGGGGTCTCTCCACGAGACAGACGAAACGTCTAGGCATAGACGAGACTGTCACCCATGCCAGCCTGGCAGGTACTACCCGCACTCATGTCAAGCATGGCCGACCACATTCCAGAGGCGCAGCGCTGAAACTTTGAACCGCCCACGCAGTTCCACTGACCCTCCTGGTCACAAGGCGACCCAACCGCCTGGGCGCCACTGCCAGCCGTAGGCGTGGGCGAGGGCGAGGGCGAGGCCTGGGTAGGGGAGGCGGTGGGCTTGACGACGGTCTGCAGGGTGGTCGTGGGCGTCGAGGGGTTCTGGACGACCGAGGTGGCCTCTGTGGGGGAGGGCGTGGCCTCTGTGGTGCTGGCAGTGCTTGTGGGCTGCTCATCATCGTCCTCGTCGCCGTCGTCGTCGCCGTCGCCGTCGCCACCGCTGCTGGATCCGCAGGAAGATCCCTCGGGGGCGACGGTCTCGCCCTTTGCCGTCTGGCGGGTGACGTCCGGGCCGGGGTCGGGGAACTCGACGTCCCCCCCCTCGGGGGCGGTGCATCCGTTGCCGACGTTGGCGACGAACATGGCCGGACGGCCCGAGAGCCCGCCGGCGCGGCTGCTGACCAGGGCGTCGACGTACTCTGCCGCCTGGATGCGGCTGGTGCGCTTCCTGCTGGAGCTGCCGCCGCCGATGGTGACGGACGCGCAGTTCATGTACATCTCGCGGTTGCCGACCTCGTTGAACCAGGTCCAGGCGAAGAGGGCCTCGCCCGAGGGCGCGTCCTCGGGGACGGTGAAGTCCCAGTCCGAGTCGCCAGCCACGGGGCATTTGCCGATGTAGGAGTGGATGACGGACCAGGTCTTCCCTTCGTCGTAGGAGAGCGAGGCCTGGCAGGAGCCACCGTTGTGCACGGCGCTGCCGGTGATTGTGAACTTGTACGACTGACCGGGCTGGTAGGTCTTGACAGACTTGCCCTGCGGCGTGCCCATGAGCGACTGGTAGCCCTTGCAGGGGAAGTCGGAGCCGTCGGCGGACAGAGGGTTGGTCATGCTGTAGTCGGCGTCGGTGGTGAAGTCGTTGTACTTGGACCGCAGGGGGGGCGGGTCCTTCATCTCCATGTGGGCTGAGGCGATCGAGGCCATGCCTACGATGGCGGCGGCGATGGTAGAGGTGATCTTCATATCTTCTGTAAGGAGTGTATGTGTCCGAAGTTATCTCCGGCTGCCAGTATTGCTGTTATAGAGAGCGTTGTGTGTGTGTGTGTGTGTGTGTCGCGGTGTGTTGTATAAGAAGCACAGCTCTCTTATATACACGCTCACACTTTATGGATGAGAAGAGATTCCCAAGAGAGGTAGAGAGAGAGAGAAAGACCCAGGAAATGAAAAGGAAGGTTGAGAAGAACAAACAGCCAGTGGTTGTTTCCGAAGAAGGGATTTTCGAGGGTCGATATATCCTCAAGGTGATGAAGGAATGAGTTATTGCTGATGAGCAGAAGAAGAGATGTGAGAGGCACACACAAAAAAAAGGAGAGATGGAGAGAGAGAGAGAGATACCAAACAGGAAGAAAAAGGAAAGGGGAGAGGATAAGGAAGAAGAAGAAAAGAGACTAAACTGGTGAGGAGCGAGAGAGAGAAGAGAGGGCAGAGGATGGAGAGAAGGGGCAAGTGACTTTATAATTCCTCCATGCGTCGTCGCTGCCCGTACATGACCTCGAGCACATTGCGACACAGAAGAAGGGAAATCACTACATACACCATACACCAGAGACCACTACACTGCTACTCACATGTACTGCTCGTACTACGACAGAGACTTGGGTAGAGGAAGAGAGAATGGGAAACAAACAAAAGAAAAAAAAACAAAAAAAAATGAAATGGTCAATGGGGACTATGGAATTCAGGGGTGTTCACAAGTTCGAGGGTAGCACCACAAGATGAATGGCCCATGATTCACAACGAGATATCCCACGGATCACTCCTACCCGTACTACTATAGCGGGAGGGGCAGAGAAGGCACGGGAGAGACAAGGGAAACCTTTATGACGATGGGAGTGGTCAGAGACACACGAAACGCATTGTTCCCTTTCAAACAGGCGCCGCAGCGTACCCCCTTTTTAGAGGGGGAGGGGGAGGAGGAGTCGGGGGGGGTGGCGGTTCCACAGTGCACCTTCTCTCTCTCTCTCTCTCTCTACACAGCACACACCCTCGGTAGAGAAAGAGGGAATATGTGGTCCATGAATGGTCAAGAGAGCTGTTTCAGATGATTGTTTTTTTTTTCTTCAATCTTGTTTTTCATGGTATTTTACTTTTTTTTTTCTTCTTCTTCCCACATCTACATGTTCCCTTCATCCCTGTTGAGGAAGCAGAGGAAAAAACGGAGTGGTTTCGTAGGCGCTTGACGAGAGTTGAAGAGAGAAAGGTATGCGGAGCTGCAGCAGAAGATCCAAAACAGATCAAGCGCCCGCTTCCTGACCAATCAATATACGGAGGCAACGTCTTGGGTGAAACTTGTATGTGAGTTGATGGAATGTTTCTCTCTCTCTCTCTCTCACACACACACACACGCACACACATTTTTTTTTTCTCCAGTTTGCGTGACTGTATATAATGTACCTATAATGGTGAAAGGGACAGACAGAAGAGTTACGGATTAAAATTTCCCTCTTCGTCTTCCCTTCTTCTTCTTCTTCTTCTTCTTCTTCTTCTTCCTCTTCCTCTTCTATCGAGTAGGTAAAGTCGACATGATGAATGTTATTTTCCTGTTACTTGAGCAACTTGTCAATGTTCCCCATCAGTCCTGTCCTGTCCTGTCCTGTCCTGTCGTGTCTTGGTACCGACTCTCCTGACTTGCATAGACGCCATACCCCGCTATTCCGAAAGAGGGATGTCTGGCTTCAGGGATCCCGTCCCGCTGTCTGTCAGCGGCTACGAAGCGAGTAAGTTAGTAGATGGATGCATAGTAGACGATGGACACTGGACAGTGGTAGTAGCCTTGTGATAATCTATCATGCATCGTGAAACGAGATGCACCATGACGTCGAAGATGACTGCCTTTCTTCTTCTTCTTCTTTTCTTCTCCAGTCTTGTATTTTCATACCGAGTCGAGTATTGGTTATCAGCTGTCCTCTGCTCGTGCAGGCAGTTTCACAAAAAAAAAAGCCCCCGTGACTACCGGGTACCACATATCGTGTGGCATCCAAGATGCATGACTAAGCAACCAGGGGGGCTGCTGCCCACAACGCTTCACATCTGTAAATAGCCTCACAAGATAGATTTCCTTCCCTTCCGTTGGGTCGAGCAATCAGACACGCACATATCATCCCGGGACGTATACATGGGCAGAGACCGCCGTATTCATCACCTACAGGTCGTCGTCTGTCGCCACCCACCGGGGGCACAGTCACCCCCAGCTTCCTCGAGCCATCGTGATCTCGGATGCGCTGTCCATCCAGCATCTTCGCTCAGACAGAAGACGACGATCGGAATGAAATATACGAGTCTTGACCACGCACACAAACTTACTCCTCTACACAGGTAGAATCGACAGAGGGGAGGTAGTAGGTAGTGATTGATTGACATTGGCATATCCCTCGTGTGTTGCCTAGTCCCCCAGGACCATGCGTGTGTGTCTGTGTCACGGTACTTCAACTCGATCAGAGCATAATACTACCCGATCAGCACTTTCGGCGGAGGGCGGAGTCCTGTCGTAGACAAAATCTTCCCGAATCATACAGAGATCATCACCCATCAATTGTTCGCTGAAGAACACACGTAAAAAGGAAGAAGAAGGGAAGGAAAAAAAAGTGGCACGCATCATCAGCCATAATATCGGTCATCGTGAGTGAGGCGTCCTGGATCAACAACAACAACACTCGTATATCACAGACAAAAGGAGGCCTCGTGACTCCCCCCCCCCCCGGTATTTCTCTCTCTCCCTCTTTCTTCTTCTTCTTCATTCACTGACCATATCATGGAAATGAATCAACAGACCATAGCCAACCAACCTGATCTCTATCACGCAATCACCATCGGTCTTTCCCAACATCCACGTTCCAGTAAGGAGCACACCAGAACGCTAATGAGATTAGAACAGCATCGAATTATAATCAACATTGATTCACTCGATTCACGTGTATTCTCCCCAAAAGACATGCTAACTTCGGATCTTGTGAGCCGAAAAAAAAAAGAAAAAGAAAAAAAAGAGAAAAAGAAAAAACTCTTCATCTACGTCATGCCGAAGAGCCGGGAGAAAGGGTCCTCTGGTTGGGGAGGGGTATGGGAGAGAAGAGAGAGGGAGAGGGAGAGAAAGAGGGAGAGAACAGATGTAAACAAGCTGCAAAGATTCCAGTCAACGGTTGCCAAGGTAGTTCATCCTCGGGACAGCTATCACCTCCTTGTCTATGTGATGTGTGCATATGATGTGTGCATCGCATCATCCACATCATACATGCATGACCTAATACCACTTCTCACCAAAACACTCTCCCTCGCCTCTCTAACGGAGTGAAGCTGAGTTACGTGCTTCATCATCAGTACGTGTAGCAGTAGCCCCCCCTCCAGCGGGGGGGGAAGAAGAAGAAAAGAAGAAGAAAAGAGCATGGTCCCGTCGTTTCACTAATACAACAACCTATCAACCTATTAGGAGGAAAGCGTTGCTCCTACCCGCAAAATCACTTCTTGACCATCTAAACTCTTCCCCCCGAAACCAACGGGAAAACTCATCATGCGTGACCTGCATATATAATATACATTACATTACATTACATGGACTGCCTATTCGAACCAAACACTTCACTTTTTTTCTTTCTTTCTTTCTCTCTTTCTCTCTTTCTCTCTTTCTCTCTCTCTCTCTTTCTTTCTTTTTCTCTTTCTTTCTTCTTCCTCTTCTTCTTCTCTCCTCCTTTTTTTATCCTTTTTCTTTTTCTTCTAATAGGTTCCTCTGCTCCGTCTTTTTCTCCGTTTCAGACATCCTGACTGTTCCCTCCCTGCCTCATCTTGCCACATGCTATACACCCTTGACGTATGCGTGCAGAGGAAAATCTATTGGACAGTTTGTAAAACCAGAGAACAAGATTTTTGAAACGATAGAGGAGGGACGAGCAGAAGAAAGAAAGAAAAAAAGAAGAAAAAAAAGAGATCAAGTATGAACATGAACAAGAAGGAGGGGGGAGAAGAGTAGGAAGGACGAAAGCTCTAGGCAGCATCAGAGACGCATAAAAGACTAAACTCGGTACAGAGACAGAGACAGAGTGCAACCCATTCATACGTCAGTCGAGGTAACGTAACGCCTAGACGCTTAGGGAGCGTATCACCATTGAGGCATTGACCGCCCATCATCATGCACCAAAACAAGATGGAGAATCATCCCCTGGTGTAAATCTCCCCAGGTCGAATGATTCATGAAACAACAGTCAACAGCAAATCCTTTGTTTGATATTTTTTTTGTTCCTTGTATGTTTTTGTAGAAGAAAACTTCTTTTCTTGTACGAGTACACCGTCTTCACAATCCCTCCCGTACGGTGCACACCCCCTCCCCTCCTCCTCCTCCTCCTTGACCACCTCTTGCTCTCCCCAATCATCAACTCATACCAACCTCCCCAACACATATTGCCTCCCCCCCCCCCCCCCCCCCCCAAGCAGAGAAAAGAGAAGAAACTCATTCCGTTCGATTGTCCCGTTTTTCACCGGCATCCCAACACGGGCAAAAAAAAAAAAAAACTCCTTTTCGATCTATCCTCTGATAGGATATTGTCCCCTCCTTCCGTCCCCTTTTTAATGCAGATTAAAAGATTTAATCGCCCTCCCCATCCGATATACCTTGCGACAGGTCCTGGTCAATATACATGGCATCAGGCTTGGGTGAAGTGCCATTCGAGACATTGGACGGGCCTCGATGCGACCTAGGCCGCCGGTCACGGGTCGCAGGTCGCAGCGACGTGTCCGGCCTTCAAGGACCGATTGTTGATATCGATGCCTTGGATGTTGATAGAAACGGCAGACCCTCGGCTGTCGCCTCGAACGGGCCAGATACATGTAGTATGTAGCGTTTGATAGTAGAAGGAAAAAAGAATATGTGATTGCAATCGTTGCCCATGTCGAATCTCTCATTTGGCTTCGTCAGATCCCTCGGCCGCCGCCGTTGTTGTTGCTGCTGCCGCTGCTGCTGCCGCTGCTGTTCGGTTCTGACCCGCTCCGGCCTGGCTTCTCTGGCTGCTGTTCCCTTGTCGGCCGTGTTCATGCTGCTGACCTTGGCCTTGGCCGTGACCCTGGCCACGCCGACCGTAGCCGTTGGCTCCGCCCCGGTGTTGCTGGTTTTGAGAGCCATGAAGCTTACCTCCCTGATGCTGGGAATTGGCCCCCGGGTGCTGAGGTCCCACGTTGTATCCGCGCGGGGGCACTACACTATACAGTCAGCCATTCGTCCCCTTTCAACCGCCACCACCACTGAGGACAAGTCTCTACTGACTCGGGCCACCAGGCTGCTGCTGCTGCTGCGGCTGCCCCGGTCCGACATACACCGGCTGGCTATACTGCACGCTGGGGCTCATGCCGTACATGGGCTGCCCCTGCTGCGACCCCTGGTGCGCCATCATCGGTGCCGCCGGCCGTCCCGGGCTGGGATACCCATTCACTCCCGGTCCAGGCTGCGGCGGACCTCCCATGGCCATATGCGCACCAGGGTACATCATCTGCGGTCCGCCCACCATACTCTGAGGGCCGGGCAGAAAGTGTGGCTGCATCATCATCGGGCCGCCCATCTGACCTTGCTGGGGCCCCATGTACTGCGGGTTGTTGGGGAAGCTGCGAAACTGTCCCATCTGCGGTGTACCAGGCCCCATAAAGACGGGCTGCTGGTACGGCATCTGCCCAGGTCCGGGGTACGCCATCGTCGCCTGCCCAAGTCGCGGTGAGGCAAACGACTGCGCAGAGTTGGAGTGCACCATCCTGTGATCGTCGTGGCCGTATGGCTGCTGGGGGATGCCACCGTGTTGGGGCGTGTGCATCTGCATGTGGCCCATGTGCGGTGACTGCCGCGGTCCTCCCATCTGAGGCTGGAGGTGGAAAGGCAGTTGATGGTGGTGTGCCATCTGTGGCACCACGTGCGGCGGGTTGGGTGTCACCATTGCCGATACGGCAAACGGCTGTCGGTCAAAGTACTCCTTGTACGTCAGGTGCATGGTCGACTCAGGCTTCTCGTCGTCCTGGAGTTGGCGCCACGTGGGGAGCGTGTCAAACGACGGTCGGAGGCCGCCATTCTCATCCCAGTTGCGACCTTGCGGCGGTGTAATCGTCTGGAGGTGACCAAGAATGTAGCACTTCTTGACATCAATGGCCTTGGTCTTGCGCCGAATCAGCGGACCGTTGGCTGCCTCCGAAACATGGTTGACCGCCGACCGAGGGCTCGAGCCCGCGCTCGGCCGGCCACCAGGGTTAAACGACGCGGCAAAGGGGCTTGGCTTAAATTCGTGGCTGTTGGGGTTCAGCTTGGCTTCCAGGTGTGACGACGACATGGCACTGGAGCGCCGGCTGAAACCACTGTCGACAGCATTAGCCGGCCCAGTGGGGGGGGCTCTCACGTCCTGAGCCGCCGCGTTCTGCGGACCAGGCTGTGACTGTCCGTACTTTTGCTGGTCGCCGTTGCGGATGCGCTGGGCAAGCGTGTTTCCACCCTGCTGTTGAGCGCCAGGAACGTGCGGGGGCACGCTGCCGCGGTTGTTCCGGTATCCCTGGTACTGCTGTTGGGGGAACTGCTGGCGATGCCCGGGGTGGCGGTTGCCAGGTCCGCCCTGAGGTCCTACCTGCCCGGCCGTCGGGCCCCGAGGAACTCGCGCGTCTGGCGTGTCCTTGGCCGTGCTCTGCTCTGCTGGCTTGGCCTGCGCATCCTTGGGGGCTGGGGCCTTGTCCTTCTGAACGGGCTCCTCCTTGGCCTTGGCCACGTCCTCGGCGTTTTTAATGGCCTTGGCCTGTATCTCCTTTTGCTTGTTGGGGTCCTTGGCGATAATGGAGACAAGGTCTGTCGGCACCGGCGTCGAGAGCTTGAAGCTGCTGGCAAACTTCTTCAGCTCTGTCAGTTTGACCTCCTTGTCAGCCTTTGCCTTGCTGCTGCGAACTTTCTGGGCATTCTCCCGCTGTTGGCTGGCGAACGACTTGAACGATTTCAGCACGTCACGCTCGACTGTGGAAGTCGCACTGGGTGCCCCTTCCTTGACTTGTGGAGATAGATTGCGGGAGCTGGAGTTTGTCTTGCTGGTGGGAACTCCAACCTTGTCGGCTGGTCGGGCATCAGCGGTTGTTGATGCAGTGACGGTGGCGTCCGCGGGCTTATTCTCGTTACCTGCCTGCTGCGAGGCACCATCCTTGCTAGTCTCCGCATTGCGGGTCTGAGTGTCCTCTGTCGTCGACGGCTTCTTTCCCGGAGCCTTGATCTGTGAAGAGATAATAGCAGGGTCCACAGGAGCTCCCTTGACGGTAGCCTGGCTCGATGGAGCTCTCATGGCCGGAGGTGTGTACTTGGACTCCTGACCACCAAGCGGCGGGAAGTCCTGGCGACGAACACCACTGTATCTGTAGAATTCATCAGCACGGAGATTGGAGGGAATGGTTAGAGGAGAAGCAAGAACGGGGACTCACTTATCCTCTTCGTTTTCTTCGGTGCCTTGGCCTGCGACGTAATCCATGACGCGCTCTTCGGCAACGTGGGCTGTTGCCGCAACACTGCACGTAATTTCACGCGCTTTTCTATCTGCAGCAGCGATTCTCTCGCGGTACTGCGGATGATTCTTATTGATGGCTGTTGTGTAGAAGCTTTCGTCGTAGTCCGTCTGTAGACCAAAGAGCCTCTCGTTCTCGGCGAACTGGTCCCACCCGCGGCCACTGTTCGGCGACTCCAAGCTGTCATCAACTGCGTCGTTCGCATCGGGCATCCATCTCTGGAGAACCCTCTCACCTCCCTGGCGGCTGTTTGATATCGCAGAATCGGTTCGGAAACCGGGTCGGTTCCCTGGACGTAAATGCCATGTCAGCCTCAGTGATGGTGTGTGGGTTTGATCTGTGAGACGATGAACTCACCATTCTGGACCCTTCCTCCATTACCACCGCCCGCGGCGTTGTCCCTTTTTCCCACAGGAGGCATGTTGGCGGACAAGAATTCGTGTACGGATTTGTCAACCGGACCTATCGACGAAGTGCAGATTTACCATGCGGGGTACAGCGCAAGCACCCGCAATGACTTTCGATGGTGCGATGCACCTATTGGAAATTCGGCGCACGTCGGGTACAGAAAAATGAGGATGTGACTGTGATCGCAAAGCTGTCAGTCTCATCCTAGTCGCAAAACATTATATAGATCGTCCTCATTCACGTCCAATTCAAGTAAATGGATATGCTATCATGACCTGATCTGCCGAAGACGCGAGCAGTGGTTGATGTTCAGAGGCAGCCATGAGCTCGTGATGGGCGGGTAGAAGACAATAGCAGGGCGGGGCGGGAGCTCTCCCGGTGATTCAAAGCGGGATAAGCCAAGGGGTAGGCAGTGAATGGGCTGCGACGAACCTGACGCTGTCCAAGGGAGCCCAGATGTATCTCCCGAATGCAGTCGTTCCTCCGATTTTCCGGTCCAGGGTAGAAGTCGAAGGGTGAAAGAACTTTGTCGTTCTAATGACGATAGAGCAAAGTCTTCAGAAAATTAATCTTGTCTTGAGACAGCACGCGAAGGTTAGCATCCCGTTGAAGTCAGCCAGCCACTTTCATTGTAGTGTCCATGGTCAAGCGGCCCGACCGCCATCGTGTTGGTCAGAATGCTATAGACCGATCGTCTGAGAAAGGGCGTTGCGGAAGGGGGGGGGGAGGGAGGCCGCGGATAGCCAGAGAAGGGCGAGCGGGATGATGGAGCATACCTCGAGGGGAGGAGAATGAGAGGGGAGTAGCTAAGGACAAAGAAGACCGACAAACGGGACCAGACAAGGACAGGTAAAGCAGCGTCACAATTGCCACAGAGTAGGCAGAGAGGACATTAGGAGAATCAGGGTCCTAGAGGGAGGGGGGAGGAAAGAAGAAGGAGGGAAGAAAGGGACGGGGCAGAAATGTCGCCAGAAGTTGTGTCGTGTGGTCAAACTAGAAATCAGATGGGGAGGGAGATCTTATGGTGGTGAAGCCTTGACCTTCCCAGTGGCGCCCCGGCGGCCCTGCCCCAATAGCAACGCAGCTTGTTACTGGCCCAAACCCTGAGAGCTTCTCAGTGTCTCCTTAGCGGTCCCGTCAGTGGTCCCGGGCGCTGTGCCATCGAGGTATTACAGGGTCTTACGGGCGCTAGACCTCTCCACCTGTTTACCTACCGGCTACGGAGGTACGGAGGAGATGTACCTGTAGTCCTGTATTACTGACCCAGGTTTAATAATGAAGGAAGGGGCTCCAAAGGGCCAGCTGTGGCTGGTGGACATTTAGTGGCTGGTAGGCACTTTGTGGCTGGTGCACCCCTGGGCAAGTCAATCCCATGAGTCTAGGCCTCGTAGGGGACACCGAGATCAGCTGCATATCCCGTTGCCCCTACGTTGTAATCCAAAGCCTGGGATTGGGGATTGGACCCAGAAAAAAAAACCATCGACACCACCAGGGTTCTGAATATCGTGAGTGACGTGAGCGAGACAACACAGGGGCGATCGGGAGAGTGATTGCATGTTGTATCAGTTGCACAGATAGTAAATATGAATAATGTTACATTTTCCCAAAAATACAGCGAACGGCAGGAGGCGGCCTCCTTCCTTTCTGCAAGGCAAGAAAGAGACAATGAGGCAAGAGCGGTCACATCAAAATTCTAGGAAATCCAGCATGAGACGAGGTGGAAACCGAGGCAAAAAAAGAAAAAGATTCCTCTACAGGTATTCACAAAATAGAAAACCACCGCACCACGCCCTCTACTACTAGACAAGGTTGACTGTTGGTACAAGCGCTCATGCCCTAAATTTACCCTCCTTACACCCTCAGGCCGAGCTGCTCGGCGTACGGCAGCACGAAGAGGTCACCGACAGTCGAGACGGAGGCCTTGCTCTCGAGGAGGGCCTTGGCGACCTGTTTCTGGTGTTAGTCTTCTGCATTTTGGGTGTAATTGGAAATGTCTAAGGAAAAACTTACAGCCTTGAGCTTGTCGGCGTTGACGGCCTCAATGCCCTTGATGAGAGCGGCAGACTCAAAGGCCTTGCCAGTGCTGATGAGGCCAGAGCCGACGAGATCAAGGGAGGGCTCGCCGTCGAAGGCGCTGAACTTGGCGTTGGCGACAGCCTTGGCAACGTCCTCGTTGGCAACGGTGCCGTTGGCAACGCTCTCAAGGGCCTTCACAGCGGCCTCAGCACCCTTGCGGACGGAGGCGGCCGAACCGGTCAGCTGGATGGCCAGAAGGCCGGCGTCGGAGTAGGCGAGGTTGGAGGCCGAGGCCGAGAGGCCAGGGATGTCGGCAGTGGCCTTGCCCAGGAGGCTGTAGCCGGGAGACCACTTGATGGTAGACTGACCACCCAGGAGCTGAGCCAGGACGGAGACCTCGGGCTTGGGGCCGGTGTAGGCGGAACCAGGGAAGGCAATGACGATGGAGTTGCCACTGGCGTGGCTCAAGCGCTGCTCACCACCGTGGTACTTGGAGGCCTGGGACTCGAACTTCTGGCCAGACTGGGACTCGACCTGGACGTCCTTGAAGAACTGGGGAACCCACTTGGCTAGGTCCTCAGGGACGGCACCGTCGGCAATCAGGGCTATGTTGGGCTTGGTGTAGACGGCATCGGAGAAGCTGGCAATGTACTCCTCGTTCATGTACTTCTTGTCGGCGCTCGAGGGGTTGGGGTAGACGGAGTTGCCAAGGCCACCGTGGAAGGCGACAGCGTGGACGTTGTCGAGGGCGACGGCAGCGGCATCGCTGTAGAAGATACCCTGCTTGACACGCAGAACGGACTCAATCTCCTCGTGAAACTCATGGGCTTCCCGATCCAGTCAGCATATTCAGCTATGCCGTACAAGCCGTCGTGGTTGCTACTTACTGGTGTACTTGGTCATGGAAACAACCTCCGCTAGCAGCTCGGCAAAGTAGGGGAGGTCAGCACGGAGGAAGTTGGCCTCGAGAACGAGGCTCTCGCGGGTGTGAGAGGAAGAGAGGCGGCCACCGAGGAGCTCAGACTCGCGGGTGATGCGGAGGGCAGAGCGACGCTGGGTGTTCTGTTTTTTTTCGAAGGGGTTCGAATTAGCTCACGAGTCCTACTAGCCCCCGAGGATGGCCGGGTGAACGGGTGTGTCGAATTTGGATACGGGCTTACCTTGAACGCAAACTCGGAAAGACCAACAGTCAGACCGGGAAGAGGCTGATACCTGGTACCAGCCTTTGAAACGAGAGCGAGCTTGGTGGCAGGGCCCTGAGTGTCGCGCGAAGCAACCTTGAGGCCAGAAATGTCCGACGTCTCAAAGGCTCCAGACGAAGCAGCAGCAGCAAAGGTGCGCTGCTGGGTAGACCGGGCGGCCAGAGACCGACGAGCGGCCTGGTGGGCGTTCCGTGCGAGTGACGATCTCGAAAGCATTGTCGAGGGTGGTGTCGAGACGAATTGACAGTCCTTGCCGCCGTGGATTGGGGGATACTCCGTAGTAAATCTCCAGAAGAAGTGCCTCGTGGAAAAGCTCCCGTCTAATTTTCGAGAGACGGGATAGACTTTGTTTTGAATCACGTGATTAGCGGATCCGAGGAGTTTGCCGGGATTATGCAAGGCGAAGTGTCTTAGAGGTCACTCTGGCAGACAAATATGACGATCAAGGGTGAGATACGCCGCAAAAGTCACCTTGACAGTACTTCGGCCCACTGCTCGGCTCCCACCAGCAGGTCATTGCACCCCACATGCAGACTGCTAATGGCAATTAGCAGAAGCCTCAGTGGCACTTACACTCTCTCAGAAAAAATCATGCGCCATCTACGCTAGTACCTCATATTTTCTGCCCTCTTCAGACCAAACAAGTCTTCCATCATATATATCTCTCCCAACGTTCTCTTGCTGCCTTCCGCGCTCATCACTTTACATTCCGGAATAAGAGTGGAGGGATAGTACCAGACTTCAATGAAGGTCCGGTAGTCATTGTGTTCAGCTCTAGAGATAGTGAGAGGATCTCTAGGAGCACAGCAATGCACGTCGTGAGTGACACCATCGCATCCGGTTATTGATTGCACTGAACCACGTTTTTACTGACGCTGGGCACCACATGCCAATAGACACAACACGCTGCCGAGCTTTGTGCTCTCCTAGTCAGCGATCTCTATGGCGAACTTCCATCGGTACGCTCATCCTCTTTCCAATTGGGGGCATCTTTTGCCCCTCTTTCCCCTCTCCCTCTCTTCCTCTCTCCTCCCCTCCTTCCTGTATCACCAACTGACTAGGGTCTTGTCGCCTTTTAGCGCATCTTCGCTACCTTGCTCACAAAGGGACGCTGCACCGTTTCACAATTGGCGCAGCATACGGCCCTCACTCCTCGACAACTCCGACACGGACTAGCTGTTCTATTTCAGCAAAACCTCCTTTATACGCGAGCAGACCCCGAGTCGAGAACCACCTGGTACGATGCGAACCCGGACGCCTGCTACAACCTTGTCCGAACTGGCAAGGTGGTAGAGGCAGTCAACTATCAATTTGGCCCTATGGAGCGCGAGCTTGTCCAGAACTTACTCCAATTTGGTCATGCCCGCGTCCATGATCTGAGCCAGGCCTTTGCCTCCAGATACCCTTCCTTGAATGGGAAGTCCAACGGCTCCAACGGCCATGCTACTGGCGATATGATTGCGTCGGACGATGACCTCATGATCGTTCTCGCTCGTCTGATCCAGGCAGACATTATCGAGACCGTTCGCCCAGAATCGTTTCGCAACCCCATCGACGTTTTCGACGATATCAAGCAAGACGTCACCAAAACTTCGCCGGGAGAAAAGGCGACCAAGACCAAAATGGAGATAGAACAACAAATTGCAAACAGGTGGAAATCCTTCCGCGATCAAGGAAAGGGTGTCAAACGCCAGCTCGACCAGACCCGTGGCAGCATGAGCAAGCGCCGGAGGCTGCACAATGGGCGGGCTGCCAACGGGGCCTTTGATGACGAAACAGTACCACAGCTAGGCGTGAGTACTGCTACTAGCCCACCTTAGCCTCCATCCCTCCCACGAAGTGCACTTGTCTAACGAGAGTACAGCCCAACCTCGTCGTCAGGATCAACTACGAAAAATGCTTGGTCGACCTGCGGAACAAGCGTCTTGCGGACTTTGCCGCAGGATGTCTTGGTGAGACGACGGGCGAGGTGTACCGCACACTCCTGGGCCTTTTGACGGCAAACACCCCCAGACCCCGAAAGGATGAGTTAATAGAAGAAGAGACGGGACCGCTGCCCACAGCCACCACCCTAGACATATTCGAACATCTAGACGAGTCGGTCAACGTGGCCAGTGGCATCGGGAAAGTTTCCAAGAGCAACGTGGATGACATCAGCGCCGAAAAAGTTCGGCCCAACGCTCCGCAGTCGGATGACGAGTCGGACGACGAATCCGACGAAGACGAAGATGCACCACGGCGATCGGGAATAAGTCGTATAACACTAGATGACGCCGACGACGACAATGATGACGACGAACAGCACGCACACACGAATGGGAATGGCACAAACGGCACCCGAGAGACCAAGGTCAAATTCAAGGACGAAGGCGCACCCCCGGCCAGCCGCGTCGACCAGATGCGGCAGCACCTACTCCTCCTGGCGGAGAGCCAGCACCGATTCGTTCGACACTGCGGTACCCAGGGACGCGGCCAGTGGACGGTGGACTTTGAGCTGCTGATGGAGCGGATCCGCGAGTCAGAACTGGACGCCATCATCGAGCAGTCGTTTGGGCGGCACGGACTCCGGCTCACGCGCATCCTGCGCGAGAAGGGCAAGCTGGACGAAAAGATGCTGCACTCGGCGGCTCTCATGAGGAAGCCCGACGTGCAGGGCAAGATGCTGGCCATGGAGATGGCGGGACTGGTGGACATACAAGAGGTGCCCAAGGACAGCAGCCGTATGGCTAACCGCACCCTATTCTTCTGGTACTTTGACGCCGAGCGCACCCGCTCCCAGCTGCTCGACGACATCTACAAAGCCATGATGCGGTGCCTACAGACGCTCCAGGCTGAGAGGCACAAGGAGAGGAACATCCTGTCCTTCGTCGAGAGGAAGGACGTCCAGGGTAAAGAGGAGGAGGTCATGACGGCCGAGCACTACAACAAGTACAATGAGCACCTTCAGATTCAGGAGAAACTGATTGCACAGCTCATGAGGCTGGATGACATGGTGTCTATATTCAGGGATTTTTAATCATGGAGAGAGGGAACTTCCCGTCCTATCAAGCAAATACATGGCGATCACGGGTATGAAAAAAAAACAATGTGGCAGGAGTTGGTTGACATGGACGGAGAAAGAGAGTGAGCTGTTACACCTGTTACGTTTCATCTGGATTCATTGTTTTGTTCCTTTTTTTTCCTAGAGTCAGGACGGAATGGCTGCCGTCTTGTAAGTGTATCACGAGCTGTTTAAAAAAAATCGCTCAGTCAAAAGGTGTATTGACTTGGTACGTATGGCACGATATTGTATCGGACTTGCCTTCTGCACACTCAGTGAGTCCTTTGCATGTGCAAAGGAAATCGTATACCTCTGGAGCCTACTAATCTACTGATACTACTACCAGTACAAACGTAATAACACAACGGACAAACATGATAGAAGTACGTGTATCCTTTTCGTCTTTATTAGAGACCCTTGAGATTGAACGGCAATTGTCGGGAGGCCTAGGGTAGTGGTGGACGGATTGACGGGATTTATCGCACATTATGATACATGTACGAGTCGCGATAAAAAAAAAGATGTTAGTGGAAAGACCATGTGATCAGGTCTGATTGAGTAATCATAGCTTAGAGTTGGTCCCAGGATAATATTCGGCGATATGCACGGTGGGAATAATACGGTGTTCCTAATTGAAAAATTGGGAAGAAGAAAATAAGTGCCTTTTACGTCCTCTAACAAGATAAATTGCAATGCTGAGAAGAACAGTAATATCGATCTTCCTGGCTGGTATCATCTGTACATATAGAACATAAGTAGTCGTTCATATTACCAACAGCTATTATTACAGCGCGGCTTTAGGCGGTGGAACCTCCTTTCCCCATTTTCGCGCGCCCGAGGTCGGCACTATTGTAATATTATTGCTCAAAAATTTCCATCCATAGGGTCCCGAGTAACTCGTACATACGAAAGACGTACAGCTGCTAACCACTAGGCAAGTCCAAATTTCAAGCTCCAACGCCGTTGCGACCACGACAAGATTCTCCTTCTCTCGCATCACACACTTTTTTTTCTCTTGATTTTTTCCCCCGGTTATCTTTGACAAGAAGAGCTTCCCCTCCCCACAGTCCCAACCATGTCTCCCCCAGTCAACACTCGTGAGAAGGAGTCTAACGTGGCTCGCCTGCTGGGCTCTGGTAAGATACGATTTCTCCCTTCATGTCCCTCCTGCCTTTGCCGTATCTGTCCGAAAGGAACAATGGTATGATGGCTCAAGAAGATATATTGAAACCGAGTGCTAACTGAGCCGAACTACAGGTTCCGCTGGTATCGCTGAGCTGGCCATCTTCCACCCCGTTCGTCTCTTCTCTCTCTCTCCCCTTCGGCTGCTGCGAAACTCCAAGGTTCCCTAACAAGAATCCGAAAAAAATACAGGTCGATACCATCGCGAAGCGATTGATGAGCAACCAGACCAAGGTAATACAATACAGCGCAAAAAAAAAAAAAGAAGAGGATTTGGAAAGGCTGATCAGATGAAACAACCTCCTCCGTACAGATCTCCAGTAGCGCCCAGTTGAACCAGGTCATCTTCAAGGACAAGGCTACCGCCCCCGCCAGTCGCAAGTTCATTTCCCTCTTTCCCGGTCTCGGATACGCCGCAGGATACAAGGTGCTCCAGCGCATCTACAAGTATGGTGGTCAGCCCGTAGCTCGTGACTTCCTCGCCAAGCATTACGGGAACGACTTCGAGTCGGCCTTTGGCAAGAAGACGGGCAAGGCTATCATGCACTCGACGGCTGGCAGGTGAGTCGCAATCAATAGCCCTAATCCTGATGTGACCGAGCTCCGGTTTGGACTTCCCCGCGGCTGACATACGGTCTGTGTGTGCGCGTAGTCTGGTCGGTATCGGCGAGATTGTCCTCCTCCCCCTCGACGTCCTCAAGATCAAGCGCCAGACAAACCCCGAGGCCTTCAAGGGTCGTGGTGTCCTCAAGATCATTGGCGACGAGGGCTTCAGCCTCTACCGTGGCTGGGGATGGACTGCTGCCCGTAACGCTCCTGGATCTTTTGCTGTAAGTCCACCACCTTCCTCTCCCACCCGTTCGCGGGTGGCGTGTGATTTTCGTATCCTGACATGCATGTTCCTCTCCCCTATAGCTCTTCGGCGGTTCTGCTTTCGCCAAGGAATACCTCTTCCACCTCGAGGATTACAACAAGGCCTCGTGGCTGCAGAACTTCGTCGCCTCCATCGCCGGTGCCTCGGCTTCGCTCGTCGTCTCGGCTCCTCTCGATGTGATCAAGACCCGTATCCAGAACCGCAACTTTGAGAATCCCGAGAGCGGTTTCCGTATCCTGAGGAACATGGCCAAGAACGAGGGTTTTGGTAGCTTCTTCAAGGGACTTGTCCCCAAGGTATATTCTTCCTGCCAACAATTATATCTTCACTCTCCAGCCTCTTTCCCAGGCTCCACATATACACTTATATCGATGGGTCGTATCTCCAAAAAGAAACCAGATGCTGACCTCTCCTTTTTTTTTTTTCACTCTACAGCTCCTCATGACTGGTCCTAAGCTGGTCTTCTCGTTCTGGCTCGCCCAGACGCTCATTCCCGCATTTGACACGGCTCTCCGCAAGTAAGGGAGAAGAAAAAAAAAGATCAATAGAAGAAACGATTTCTTGGGGCTAAAAAAGGTGATTGGGTTAGGAGGAAGGGAGAAAGCGGGCTTTTGTATGAGGACTCTCCCAACTCTGTAGCGATATAGACTACGTAATGTAAGCGGAATATTTTGTTTCACTGGGAACACAGCATCGCCAGAAGGTTATTGGCATGCTTCAGCACAATCACCTGGGTATAGGTAGACGGGTGCTGCCTTGCCTGACATGCGCTCGTCGTATTGCGCCTCATCGTAACGGCGTTCTGAAACCGACTAATCCCAGAAAGATGCTGCCTGGTAAAATGAAGCAAGTTCCAAGAGAGACGATGGCCCTGCAGACGATGGCCCAGTCAATTTGGGGGGCAACCAATGTCTGGGACGTCATGTCGGACCTTTACATAACTCAGGGAAACGAGAATGCCGACCTCGAGGCTATATGACTTGCAACAGACACAACGCGTCTCCGTCTCCACCGGTTCTGCATGAGGCCTAGATGCCCATGGCGCAGATAAGATTGGGTGGCGCGAGTTGTTGAAGAAGCAGGCGTCGCTCCAAGAGGGGGATGACGATGACGCATGAGCTCTCGCTCAAGCTGGTTCATGGCGATAAACCCGTAGGGGAAGCGTGCAGTACGAGATCCGGGATCGTCCAGGCCAACCTATTACACGACTCGTCGACGGCGCAGACGGTATCGCAAGGTGACAGCTTCCGAACTAGGCGCAACATCTAGCGTCTTATAGACCCGTACTCGTCGTATATGAGCTGTTCAGCCGCGCCAGGAATATCGACACGCAACTTGCTGACGTCGAGAATCCGTCCGATGTACATCTTGCGAAAAACAACGGGGCGACACGTTGAACCCAGCATGTTGAATGGAACATGTACACGTCGTGTGTGCGACTATGGTGCCGACTCACCGTAACTCCTGAGGATACGGTCAAGCTGAAGGTGGTAAACAAGCAAGGCTAATACGACCAAAGCTACATATCTCCAGGTATATATGCCGGGTTCGATATGGGAGGTAGACTTGTCAATACTGTAGACACGACCCAGGCTAGCACCGCAGAGACGATGACGAGTGCAAGAAAGGTCCCCTCGAGAGAACATTAAGGTCTTCCCTAGAATGTGGGAAAAAAAGGCTACCGAGGAAGCTTTCCATGCTATCTCACAAGAAAACCGGTGTCTTTCACGCCCTTAGAGTTGCCAAGACTCGGAGAAGACGCTTCAAACTGCCTAGTACCTAAAACGAAAGGTGACGGGGGGGGGGGGAGCTGTACCTCGTCAGACTCTGAGAACTGGCTGTGCCCACTTTCCGGATCTATATCACAAGATGATTGGGATGCTGTAACATGGTGTCAGTGAGTTGGGGAATGAAGATAATGACAGGGCAAAGGAGAAGGGCATAAGATGGGCGGTGTCAAAGAGTTATTAGTAATCATAATGAGTCTCAGACTTATAGAAGGGAAAGACTAAAGGAGCTATGGATTTAAGTAGCGGGGTTCTCCCTTTTTCTCTCTTTTTCTCTTCTTTTTTTTTGTGCAAGTATTGTCGGTCATGACCATGGTTAGAGGTCATAGTACTCGTAGAATCAGCCCGTACCCAACGCCGCTATCCCCACAATGCCTATACTGAAATCAATAGGGAAGCAACTAATCTGTATATGTACTAACACATGACAACATGCATGGAGTAGATATGGAGGTTTTTAGGTGGCGAAACAACAAAAATAACGGAAAGGTGTCCGGGAAGGTGCGGCAACTATCTTGATAGGTCGTTGCTGTGGAAACTACCGCCAGAACGCGCGGTAGCAATGGAAGTCACAACAAACCCCGGTCTTTTATGCTGTCTGTACATATAATAAACCATGGTCCATTGTTTGTGCTCGTCATATCATCTGTCTATCCCGCCCATCGTGTTTCTCTTTTTTTTATGATACTCGTACTCTCTTCTTGTTCATATTACAAACACTTCAACCACCTCTTCCCTCCCACATTTTGCGTAGGAGTCCTGCTCTACGTGAGGCCGTCCGCTGGCCTATAAATCTTCAACTACTCTGCGGATATTGCCACGCCGGCTATCCGCCTTAGCACTGTTGTCATCTCATTTGACATTCCTCACACACACCCACCCGCAGGTCGAGAAAAAAAAAACACACACACAATGCCGACACCGGGGAGTGACAGCCCGATGGAAGGGCGGAATGATTCTAGACACCACCACTCTGGGTCCTTTGATTATGGGAATCGAGCCCTCGTCCCCATGTACGTACTGCAGTCTCGGCAATAGAGATGCTGCTATTCTCTTGCCATCCATCCCCCAAATCCTCTCTTACGGCCATCGCCTCGAGATATACAAGTCACCCTGGCGGAAGCTGACGAGAAGGCGCCGCAACAACAGGTGGGATAGCTCCGATCCCGAACGCGCTCCGCCGCCTCTACCTCTGAACCCGCAGTCGCCCAGCGTCTCGTCGCGGGCAGGAACATCTAGCGTCATCCAGTCGGCCCATGCCGCGCTTAACGAGCGAGTGCGAGAGAGTGCTGGTTTCGGTCCCCCGATCAGCAAACGCCTCAACGACTCGTCGCCCGACCGGTCAACTGTCAGTCGAAGCTCCCACCGACGAACACAGACGCTACAGCCTGGCTCGGTCCGCGACCTGAGTTTGATGATCGAAGGTGCCTCCAACAACAGTCCCAGCCCATCGCCCACACGGCTCCCGCCACACCGCCACCACAGTCCTTCCTCGACGATAGGCTCATCCATCGCTCCCCGATCCGTCCAGGACGACAAGGAATGGGAGAGGGACATCCATGCCGATACCGAGTCACAGCTCTCCGAGAAGGCAAACAGCGCAGCTCCCCCACCCGGGTCTAGCTGGACCCCCATTCTCCGCCCTACAGCCCGCCGTGCCCCCGCTCAAGGCATTCTGGGAGAGAACACACCTCCCCAGTCATCCACCATGCTCGCCCTGCACAGTATGAGTTCCCAGAGCCCTAGGGCCGACTCCGAGCCCCCCCTGGCCAACGTCACAAATGGATCGTCTGCGTCCTTCTTGAAGCAAACTCCCCAGCCCAACGACCAGCTCTCGCAGCAGTTGGTCACGCTCACCAGCATTGCTACATCGCTCCAGAAGGAGATGTCCGCCCTCAGCCGGCGGAGCAGGGATAACGCCACCGATCTCCTCAGCCTCAAGGAAGCTACCAACACCCGAGACGAGGACATTCGGAAGAGCTTGAGGGATCTTCTCGGTAGTGTCAACGAGACGTCCACCAGGCTCGGTTCCAAGGATTACGGAGAGCGCCCCTTCGATAGCAAGACATTTGGCACCACATCCCCCAAGAACCGTGCTTTCCAACTTCCCCGCATCCCTTCACCCAAGAGCTTTACAGAATCCGTCGATCGTGGCTCCGTTAGCACCCCGTCACTCATCGGTGGCGATGGTCCGTCAACCGTCCCCATGCTGGAGAGGATCATCCGGGAAATGGGCACCAAGGAGGGCCAAGATGCCTTGATCAGCCGGCTCACCGAGGTATCCCGAAGCCTCTCCGGCATGGCAACCGCTTCCAAGGTGGATGAACTCCTCGAGCACATCCAATATCTTCGCACACAATCGCAGACCGCCATGGTCCCCAGCAGCAGAGAGCTCGAGCATGACGGTCCTCTGCCAGCCTCAGACGACTTCGACATATTTCTCAAGAACGAGAGGCCCCCTTCCACTCCGTCGCCCAGTCGGGGCTCCGGGATCCTCAATGAGGATATCCTCAGCATCATCCGCTCCGTAAAGGACAGCGTTGCTCAGGGAGGGGGTATCACAGCCGAGGTCAAGGCTCTCGTTCGCGAACTCCGCGGCGAGGTGCTCGGGATGGGCCGTGAAATCGGCAGGCGCTTGGAGGGTGTCAACCTCCAGAGCATCGAAGGCAGCGCCAACAACGAAAACCCGAGCAAGGATGAAGTGTCCCGCATCATCGACGAGGGTCTCGAGCAGATGAAGGAGCAGCTCAACCACGTCCTTCGCGAGCACCGTCGCCAGTCTGCCCAGTCGGCCGACACCTCCAAGACCCTCGTCGACTACCAGGAGATCTACAACGCTATGCGGGCTGCCTTGAGGGATAATGAGTCTTCTCGTGACAAGATGCCCGATCTCAGCCGGGACGATGTCGTCGGAGCTGTACGTGATGCCTGGGAGACATACAAGCCCGAGATCGAGGTCCAGCAGCTGGGCCTTGAACGGGATGAAATCCTGGCATGTCTTCAGGAAGGCCTTAGGGAGTACGCGCACCGTGACAAGCACTCCGAAGGTGCTACCCGCGATGAGGTCTTTCAAGCTGTCGTCGAGGGCCTGAGGCACTATTCGCCGCCCCGGATGGACATATCGGCCTCCATCTCGAGGGACGAAATCGTCGAGGCTGTGCGTGATTGCCTGGAGGAGTTTGAATTCCCGGTCGCCGCGTCCGCTATTGGGAACGACATCAGCCGGGATGATATGGTTCACGCCGTTAGGGAGGGTCTCCACGACCTGCACTTTTCTGGATCCCGAGCCCTCGAACACCCCGGCGGCGGCGGCGGCCTCAGCGGTGATAACGAGGAGATCATTGGCCGATTGGAAGACCTGAAAGAGTACGTCAAGCTCGAGTTCAGGAGTGTCTCTCAGGAGGCCAAGGACAACGTCGCCGCAAACGGCAGGGACACGGAGCAGGTCCTCGATGCGACAAAGGACGGCTTCGAAAACCTTCGTATTGCTATTGAGAGCTACGTCGACCGGGCTACCGCTGAAGCTGGCCAGGAGGACTTCATGCAAGGACTGTTGCGGACCATGACCGACTTCAAGGAGGAGATTACGGAGCTCCTGTCCCACTCGACGGACATCTCCCGTGAGCAGCTTCAGGGTGAACTTGAAGGCCTCCGTGAAGTCGTCAACTCGTCCATGGTGCCTGCCTCAGCTGTCGCCCCGGTCCAGACGGACAACAAGGAGATCATCGAGGCCCTGCACGCCACGGCCAACACCCTTCGACAGGAGATCCTGCGGCCCAGGGCTGAGACGGCCGAGATCATCGACGCTCTCAACGATGGGCTCAACGAGCTGCGGATCGGCATCGACAGGATGACCAACAAGCCGGCCGACCTGACAGCCAACGACGAAATTCTTGATGCCCTGCAATCTGGACTGGATTCTGTTCGCGCCGACATCGAGTCCATCCGCGACGACAACAACATCAGGGCCATTGCTGCCGTCCCTACTGAATCCTCAACGGCACCACATATTGAGATTCTGGAGGCTCTGCGATCCGGACTGGACTCTGTCCGGTCGGATATGCACTCTATACGCGAAGAGAGCAGTGACAGGACTGTTGCCGCGGTGCCCCTTGAGTCGGCCCACAACGAGATCCTTGACGCTCTGCGCTCGGGACTGGATTCTGTGCGGGCCGACATTGAGTCCATACGCGAGCAGAGCAACGACAGGTCCGTACCCACGGTGCCTCTTGAGTCGGCCCACAACGAGATCCTTGACGCCCTGCGCTCGGGACTGGATTCTGTGCGGGCCGACATCGAGTCTATACGCGAGCAGAGCAACGCAAGGTCCTCTCCTGCAGCAGCCCCTGAGTCCACAGGTCACGACGAGATCCTCAAAGTTTTGCGCTCTGGATTGGACTCGGTTCGATCTGGTATCGACTCCATCCGTGACCAAGCTAATGAGAGGTCATTCTCCGCGGTGCCTCCCGAGTCCTCAGGTCATGACGAGATCCTCGAAGCTTTGCGCTCTGGATTGGACTCTGTGCGGTCTGATATCGAGTCTATCCGCGAGCAAAACAACGACAGGGCCCTCGCTCCGATCTCGGCTGGCGCGTCAACGCCCGACATACCCAGTTCGGACGAACAAGCTCTCATCCTCGCTGACATGGCCAGGCACGATGACATCAAGAATCTCGAGGTTCTCATCACTCAGCTTCGGATGAAGCTTGAGAGCATGAACTCAGAGCCCGAGCCTGCTCCAAAGGACGAAAACAGTAGCAACCTGGAGAGCATGCTCGAGAACATTCAGCATGGTGTCGACGATCTCAGTTCGCGAGAACCTTCTTCCGCACCTCCCAGCCAAGACCTGACGCGTTTGGAGAGCATGATCGAGAATATCCAGCGCAGGGTCGAAGAACTTAGCTCCCGAGAGCCACCTGCGGCTGCAGTCACCAGGGATGCAGAGAGCTCCAAGGACCGTTCGGCCAGTGACGATGTTGCTTCAAAGGAGGATGTCCAGGCGATTGAGATGATCCTGCACAATACCAAGGCCCGCCTAGACGATCTCATGGATGGCGATCAAGCTCTCCGCAAGGACCACTTGGATGCCGTCGAGGCCCTCATTCTGGAGACGCGCGAAAGCATGAGTTCCATCGCGGAACGGATGGAGGCTGTCTCTCGCAAGGACGACCTGTCCACGATGGAGACGCTCCTCAACGAGATCAAGGGCAACTTCGATGAGATGAAGAACCAGATTGCCACGCGGGATGAGCCCGACGAGGACAAGGTTTCCAAGGCGGATGTCGCAGCCGTCGAGACGGCCGTACTCGAGATCAAAACTCTTCTTGCTGCCTTCCAAGGTGTCGACCTGAGCGACCTGCCGAAGAAGGGAGACTTGTCCGGCATTGAGACGCTCGTCAAGGAGACCAAAGAGAAGATCGAGAGCCAAAATGAGGCCTCCAGCATGGCCATCGAGAAGAAGGATGATGAGCTGAAGTCTGTGGATGAGCGCGTCTCGGAAGTCAAGACATTCCTGCAAGAATTTCAGGAGACGCTCAAGGGAAAGCTCGAAGACGGCTCCAACGGCATCGAATCACTCGGAAAGCTCTTGGAGACCATGGGTGAGAAGATCGACAAGAACGACAACGTCGGAGCCGACCTAAAGGAGATGTTTGAGACGATGAAGACTCAGTTCGAGGAATCGAAGGGCATCGTCACCGGTGCCAAGCTCGAGTCAGATGAGAAGCTACAGCAGGCTACGGAGAGCATCGGCACCAAGATCGACGACAAGATCACCGAGCTGATGACTAAGTACACCGAGTTCCAAGAGGCCTTTGACGTCAGGATTCAGGCCGGCGAGGCCCGCGACGCCGAGACCGAGGCAGCCGTCGTCGGAACCAAGGCCGTTGCCGAGGAGCTCAAGATCCTCACTGACACTCTCGGCTCGACGGTGACGGACTCCCTGGAGAAGATGGAGGAGGCCTCCAAGACCGTCTTCACCAAGGTCGAGGAGCTCGTCTCACGCAGCGACGAGGCCCAGGCTGACGGAAAGGCCGAGCACGAGCAGACGCGCGACCGGCTCGATGCGGCCGTCACCATGGTCGAAAGCCTGCGTGGTGAGGTCTCGGACACGAACCCCAAGATCCTCGAAGCTATCCAAGAGGTGTTGGCTCTCGTGGGCCAGCACTACGAACACTCCAAGACGGCCACCACGGATCTCCAGGACAAGATCATCGAGACGCGGCCGCTAGACCAGTCCATGCTCCTGCCGCCACCGGAGAAGTATGACGACACGGAGGTCCGACAAAAGCTTGACCAGCTTACCGAGCTTCGGTATGACGATACCGAGGTTCGCCAGAAGCTGGAGCAGCTCAACGACCTCCGCTACGACGATACTGAAGTGCGGCAGAAGCTGGACCAGCTGGCTGAGCTCCGTTACGACGACTCACAGGTGCACGAGAAGCTGGACCGGCTGGCTGAGCTCCGTTATGACGATACGCAGGTGCACGAGAAGCTGGACCAGCTGGCCGAGCTCCGTTACGACGACTCACAGGTGCACGAGAAGCTGGACCGGCTGGCCGAGCTCCGTTATGACGATACGCAGGTGCACGAGAAGCTGGACCAGCTAGTTGAGCTCCGATACGATGACACAGAGGTGCGCCAAAAGCTGGACCAGCTTAGCGAAATAAAGTACGACGACAGCGTGGTCAACGAGAAGCTCGACAAGATCACGGCGCAGACCACGTCGACGGAGCAGGCGCTGTCACAGCTGGAGAAGCTGGACCAGGTGCACGAATCAGTCATCAAGACAGCTGCCGAGGTGTCGACGTTCCTCAACACCCAGATGCAGCGCGCGGCTGACGACTACGAGGCCAAGGAGAAGAAACTGCGGGAGATGGACCTGGAAATGGAGCGCAAGCGCTGCGAGAAGGAGCACCTAGAAGCCTCGATCCTGAGCCTGAAGGACGAGGAGGAAAGGGTCCGCAACAGCGTTACCGGCCTCCGTACGGAGCAAGAGAGCCTGATCCGACAGAAGACGAGGCTCACGGGCGACGTGTCAGCTCTCGACACAGCTATGAAGCTTCGCAGGGAGGACCTGGCCGAGATGGAATGTCGGGCGGACCGTCTGGAGCGTCGCATCCTGGAAGGCGTCATGGACCACTCGCGCGTGCTGCTCATGGCCAAGTCCAACAGGAGCGGCGGGGGCGCCGGCGACTCGATGGCGCGCAGGCGTGTCAAGAGGTCGTCAGCTCAGGGCGAGGACGGCACAGCCACCCCCAGGGCGGCGACCAAGCCGGCCGTGAGCATGGCGCTGTCTGGTAAGCGCAGCTTGGCGTCGCCTGGTCAGGCTGGGGCCGAGAGGCGCATCGCATCTCTCGGACAGATCAACAACAATGCCCCCACTGGCGGCGTCAAGAGAAGCCAGAGCGTGCGGACTCCCATGGGGGGGAAGTCGCTCCGCAAGCGCAGCTGGGGCGGCGATGCGAGCCACGGCGAGACGAACAAGGAGAACCTGGGCGTGGGCGAGACGGTGGAGGAAGTTGACGAGAACGAGTCTCCGGCCCTGGTCGGCAATGGCCCCGAAGGCGCCGGCAACCAGGCATCCGAGACGACGGACAATACGAATGATGACGACGAGGCCGGGAGCGACAGCGGAACGCTGCGTCGCAACAGCCACGGGTCGTCGGAGCAAGGGTACAGCGAGTACAGCGAGACGGTGAGCAGCGAGTGGACGGGAAGTTCGGTGGTGTCAGGAACGGACGATGGAGCCAGCACCGTCGGTGGCGATGAAGGCGGCCAAGACTTGGTGGTATATGGGCAATGAAGTTGATGAGGAGGATGTCATATGATGATGACTTCACCTTTTTTTTTCTTTTCTTTTTTCTCTTTCTTTTTTTCTCTTGTGATTTTCTTTATGACGATGTTGTCACGATCAGACTGTTTCTTCCTCTCTTTCTTTTTCCTTGGACGGCAAGCACTTTGTTTCTTCTTTTTCTCTTGCTTCTTTCGTTTTTCCCATCCTCGTTATATGCTTGTTCACTCACGTGTTTCTTTGGAAGACATTTTTACTCTTTTTCATGTTTCGGGCGTGCGTTTAGTCTATTTTATCCTCGTCGTTGCGGTGGTCTTTTCTTATACTCCTCATGATTCCTCCCCAAAAAAACCCCCCTTTCTCTGTTATACTCGGTTCGAAATAATGATGGACTTTTTTTCTCTTCAGGTTTTAGCTGCTAGTAGTTTTTCTTTATGATGCGTATACCCGTTTCTCACTATCTGTCCTTTATCGTAGATGTGATGGTGAAGTTGTGTGTGTGTGTGTGTCTGTTCGTCTGTGTGACTCTTGATGGATTTGTTCATCTGTTCACACGAGTACCAGGTTCCCTAAAGGGCGCTAGTACAAATGTAGTGATCTGGCCTGTCAAGGTGTGACGGTCGTTGGAAGGACAGTGGAAGCCCGAGGGTCTGCATTTGTAAAGGTGAAGGTAAGTGACGGTACTGACGGAAGATCACGAATAGTACGTCCAAGTCCGGTCCGCCCCAAAGCAAACCAGCTCGCTCCCTTACCCCCCTATATGCATTATTCCAACTAATGGCACAATGATCCTCGCTTACTACATCTTCAGCCACTATCGCGTCTGCAAGCTTCGTTCTAGGGGGCTATAGCTGCGCGCCTCCGTGCAGCATAATCTGATGTTGTTGTGCGGTCATCCTCGTATCATGCTGGGCAACCACCAGATATGTATCTGGCCATTACTATCAACTCATACGGCATGTGCTTCATCACGGTCAACACTAGAAGTTGGCTAATTGTCCTATGAGATTGCGCGTACATCAAGCCTCGCAGAACACGTGCCCGTGTACGAAACATGGACAGAGAAAAAAAATGATCGGCCATTTAATATCGCTTGTTGGATTGCTGAAGAAGGACCGTCTGCATGTGTTATGTGTTGTTGATGAGGGCAGAAGGGGGTACGGGATCGTCTCTCGCCGCCAAGGATCATTCGCGTCCTCTCAAGATGGCGTCGGCACAGAATTCATATGAGAGGGACGCCCATGTGATATCAGATGCCAAAGTCTCTGAATACAGCTCTACTCGCCCTCGAAGAGTCTAAACATAACGCAGCCACTCGCACCACCTCCTTCAACTGGCCACGAGACTTCAAGCCTTTACCTTTCACACCCCGATCAAACATGAAAAGGCTCCTCCCCCGGCTCTTTGCTGCCACATCAGCAACTCTATCAATCACCATGGCTGCCTGCCCAGAGTCACTCCGGGGCATGGACGACGAGGCTGTTCTTGCGTACAGTCCACCCGAGCTGCCCGGAACCCGCCACATACGGATGTACATGGGCGACGACCAGGCAAGTAAGTCGACTCGGCTTACCCTACACCACACATCTCAACATTGTGCCATTTTCACCTGTCAACTGTCATGTCTGAAGCCTCATGAGAGGTCGTCTGAACAATCCTGTTTGGTTGCTTTTATGTTTTTGGCCTCACAGATTGGCTACGAAAAGGCCATCGTATTGGATATGAAGAGGGGTCGAGAGACCACAGATAGATTGAATCGAACGAGCAAGTTGAGACCCATCTTCAAGCCCCTCCTCACCTTCTTCAATGGATTATGAGACCAAGACTCTACCCTGAGTAACACTGCTGGATGCCGCGAGTTCGGACCTCACTTTCATCGTGGTGGGATGGATCAGCCACGACCCCAACAGGCCTTTGAATATGGCGTACAAAAGCCTCTGAGATGCAATGCCTAGGAGCCTCTTGTGTACATGCGCAACTACGGTCAATATGGCTTGAGGGGGAGTGTTGAAAGGCAACCCATATGACCAGAATTAAAAAGCACCACCTGTGTGGGGGGGTACCTCTCTGCTCTTTGGGTGTTTCTATAAGAGTTGCCGCGGCCTTACGTTTATCCGGCCGGAGTATCGAGTCGGCGGTCGGTGTTGTGTGCTCCGTATAGGGGGGCCTAGAAGCAAAGGACCGTTTTGTTATTAATACTGGCGCGCTGAGGGACCTTGGAGGTGGCCGTCTCTAGCGCGTCTTGTGGAAACCTAATGACGTCGAAGCCGAGGCTCGTGGCTGCTTGCCACGCATGAAGGGCCATGTAGCGTATCGCATCCATCGATGCGGCAACTACCTTATAATTGGTGGGCTGGAGATGCAACACTCGGGAGGTCTAGCGCGAGAACGGATGTTGACATGTTCAGACATGTTCAGACCTGAAAGAATATTTGGAGGATGGAAGTTGCGATACATCCGTTTACTGCAAAGGTGGTGGATCACGACCTAGTCTGGCGCACGTGACCGAAATTTGAAGGCAGTAGGCGTCAGAAAGCTGCGCCCGTGGTAGCGTCACACACATTCCAACCATCGTCATGTTTTAAAAGCCAAGCCTGAACCTGAACCGTACATACCGCCTTCTCGGCAACGGGGAGTTGCCCATTTCTAGCACGAGCACGGACAGACCGATAGATAGACGGACGCACGCAACCCGGACAGATACGATGGAGCAGACACCGTCACGCGGCGGCCTCATCTCGGCTCCAGAGCTGACACCGCTAGAGCAAGAGGTGGTGGAAGAATATGAGCGTCTGGCAGATAATATGAGAAAGGTATCTTTTTTTCCCCCTCCCCCCCCCCATCTCTCCTCTCTCCTCTCTCTTTTCTTCTTCTTCTTCTTTTTTTCTTTCGGATTTTCTTTTTGCATCCCCTAACAGAGAGGGAGAGAGAGAGAAGCATGTGTAAGTGACAAGAGATTGTATCGACAGCTGGCAACGACACTGGATTACCTGGCATCCAAACCGAGCGCCGACATTCTCGACGGACTGCGCGACCTCGAACGCAAGACCAGCCTGGCATTTACGCTCCTCAAGGCCAGCGTCTACAGCATCGTCCTCCAGCAGGAGATTGACTGGGGGAGCGGAGGGGGACGGGCCGGTGACGATACGGCGATGACTCCGAGGGATGATGGTCATGATGTTATACATGATTCGGAATGATGCTCACTGCAAAGGAGATGAAACAACGCAAAAAAAAAGTCAAGAAAAAGTCATGTGTACAGGGGAATATAAGCTGTGTATACCTTTTTTTTAAATTTTAACCATTGAGATTAAGAAAGAAGTGAAAAGAATGAAAGGAGCAACAATAATAATAACAATGACAACAACAAAATCTATATATTTACACAAGTCGTAATGATACACTCTTCCTTGTCTTTTTTTCTTTTCAAAATAGGCAAGATACATGTACAATAGCATTAAAAAAAGACCTGCTACAACAACAACAACAACACATGCCCTCTTTCTTTTGTAACGTACATGTCATACTTGGTAGACATATGAGAAACCCCTTGTCCGGATTGATCACAGAGAAGCTCCACCGTAGTAGACCTTTCTGGCGTCGACGAGCTTCTTGCCACGACCGATGGCGATCTGATCGGGATCAGGCTGGTTGCTCAGGGCCTTGAAGGTGGCCTTGACGGTGTTCATGGGGTTCTTCGATCGGGGGAACTTGATAGCGAGGTCGTAGATGCCTACGGCGCGGCACATTTCAAAGACGCGAGAGGGGACTCGGAGACCAAAACCTGTGTTTTCTTTTTGTTAGTTTTTCTCTCTCCGTCTTTTGTTTCGTTCTTTCTCTTCCCCGTTTCTTCTTCTCCTCCTCTTTCTCCTTTTTCTCTCTCTTCTTCTGCCCTCTTCTTTCCTTCTTTCATCTACACAAAAGGAAAGAGAGTGGGGGAGCATAGAGTGGGGGAGCATAGAGTGAGGAAGCATAGAGAAGGAGGAAAGCTTACCAGGAGGACGAGATTGAACCTCGGCGACGGTACCGCTAACCTTGGCAGTGACGTTACCAAAGATGGTGCGGTTCTCGTAGCGCCTGACTGGCTTCATGGTGCGGATGGCGAGGCCGGTGGCGGTGGCGGTGGCTGTGGCCATGTCGGTCGACTTTGCCTGGCCGATACCGAGCCGTCCGTTTCCGTTGCCGGCCATGGCCATGACGGAGAAGCTGCGGACCTTTCCGAGACGGGTCTGGTTGCTGACGAAGCGGACGACGAGGGTCTTGCAGAGCAGGCTCCGGATCTCCTTGACGGACAGGCCGGTGACGCGCTTCATCTCGGAGAAGTTTCCCTCCGGGTCCTCGGCGTCGTCCTCGGCGTTGGACTTGTACAGGCCCTCTACGCCCGGGATCTTGCCCAGGTCGGGCTGCACGGCCGAGTGGGCGCTGATGACGCCGTCGGGGCTGTCCTGGACGACCTCGACGTGCGGCGGCTTCAGGTAGGTGTAGTTGTCGCCGGCGACGATGGCGTCGATCTCCTTCTTCCACATGGCCTGGACGGCGTCGTCAATCTCCAGGGCGCGCGCGCGCGTCATGAACAGCTCCGGGTGCGTCTTGGGGCTGACGGCCTCGCCGTCACTGCCGGCGCCGCCGCCGGCCGGGGAGCTCGAGTCGGCGTCCTCAGGTAGGATGTACTTCTTGAGCAGTTCCGGGTCGCGCTCCATGCGCTCCAGCTCGCCAAACGTCAGGTCGATCGAGTCCTCGCCTTTGCTCTCCTTGACGGCTCGGAGGGCGCGCAGCATGGCCCTCGACAGCTGGTCCGACGACGTCTTGCTCGCCAGCCTCGTCATCTTCTCGTAGTACTCGTCGATGAACTGCTCCTGCGACGGGAAGTCCGTCTCCTCGGCCGCCACGGCCCGGTCGTGGTCCGGCTTCAGGTCGTACCGCGGGTCCAGCTTGGCGTAGTCGTCCACATACCCGGGCCGGAACATGTCGTCCCTCAGCCTGCCCTGCCAGATCATGTCCCTGGGGTCCACCGCCCTCTCGCCCGCCTCGAGAGCCGCCAGCTGCTCGGGAGTGTACTTGGCCTTCCACTGCTCCCTCTGCTCCGGCGTGAGCTCGGGGAACTTGTCGGCCTGGTACCGCGCCATCTCCTCCGGCTTGGTCAGCCCCAGTTCCGACGCCTTGACGTTGCGGAACTGGGACCGCCGCCTGGCTTGCGAAGGTGTTGAGCTGTGAAATTGCTGCTGCTGCTGCTGCTGCTGCTGCTGGAGGCATCGTCCCATGGCCCGTCGCGAAGTCGAAGCCGAAGTCGAGGTCATGCACCTGCCCACCAGGCTGCGTGCCGGTTGCGACACGCTCATCATGGCGGGTTGTTTGCTTTTCGAGTTGAAGGGGGACTCCGATTCGTTCGTCGCCCCTATTCGAATTGAGAGGATTCCCGCCGGGCGTTGGTCTTGGACGGTTGGGATGAGGAAGGGAGCTCTCGTGGTCCGGTTGGCAACCTTGGCGGAGATTTTTCCCGAGGGCTGACAATTGTGTGAGAGAGAGAGAGAGAGAGAGAGACGCGCTTATTGGTTGGATGTGATTAGTCACCTACTGACGGGGCTTGCGTACCGTAGACCCCTGATCTTGTTCGATTCCCCCCAACTTCAACTCCAGCTGCTCTCGTAACTTGGCAATATCATCGTAAACACGGGCAATGGCGGTACATTAGAAAATGCCCATTCTACTTTTAGCCATTACTCGTACAGATAGTCATTTATTCATAATAAGTCTTGGCAGGAGAGAGAGAGTGAGGAATTGAACCCATGATTTTTGCAACCAATAAAAGCTGTTACTCCCAGCGTCACATTGCACCCAATTATCTCCTACCGCCGCGCACCCTCACCGTGTCCGCCGCAGACATGAAACGTCAGGCGCTTCACCTCGTATGATGGATATATATTGGGCCTTTTCCCACGCTCCGTAGCTACTATATGATTCCTACTGCCTTCTCCTTCTTTCCAACTCCTCCCTCTTCCACTAAAAAACATACAAAAATACACTTTTTATATATATATAATACACCTCAGCTCTTCTCGATCAAGATCCTCTCTGTGCGATCCAGACCAGAACCAACCTTGTCTCGCGACAGACCTCTCAACACGACATTGCTTATCCGCAACACACACACACACACACACACACAAGACAAGACACCAGAATGGGCCAATTCGACTTCTTCAGCAAGATCGGTGCCACCGACAAGGCCGTCGCCGTCCTCAACGACCAGCCCGAGCTCTTCACCACCCTCCTCCTCGTCCTGATCGGGCTCGCCGCCGAGGGCGGCATCATTGCCGCCATCCACTACTGCACCCTCAAGCCTGAGCAGAAGAAGAAGAAGACTAAGGGGGGTGATGACAAGAAGGGAGGCGGTAGGAAGTAAGGGAATACCGACATGGATGCTGATCGAGGGATGATGAGGACTGCTGGACAGGAACTCGTCACGTAATATTTTTTTCATTCTTTCTGTTTCTGGCTCTAGCCTGACTTCCTCCCCTTTCTTCTTCTTTTTTCTCTCTCAAAGACCCCAGCGAATGCATATGATAGAGACTCTTATAACACCGTGGAAATGCCGACATGCTTCTCCTTGATCTTGAAGATTCCTTACTCTTCTCAACGATTGGAAGGCCTACTAATATGGCCCTGACTCCAGAGGATCGTCGCAGAGGACAAGTGGTTGAGACGACTGGTATATCTCCAACGGTTGGGACGGTAGATGAGCTGACGTCATCAATGACGAGTGATACGGAAATGGAGTATCTCTCTGATAGTGGGAGGGTGATGGTGAAGGAGAGTTGTCCCAAATCTCCAACGTCTTGGAACCATGCCTGTGCAGGGCTGGTGGTGTATCCGCGGTGACGAGAGATTCTTGTCGACGCATAGCCTGCGTATCCTCTATGACGAGGATATCTCGCTGCATAGACGATGACGGTCCATCCCCAACGACAAGAGTAGGATCAGTCCTCCGCCTCTGCTTCCTTCTCGCAGACGGTGGCGCCCCGGTATGCCGTAGCAGCACACCCCAAAGACCCAGCTCAACCCCACGGACGGCATCCCCATCTGCCGTCGCCAGGGCTGCGGTCTTCCTCCTCAGACTGGGCAGCTCAGCTCTCGTCATGCGTGCTAGTGAAGTCGACATGTTGGATAGGAGATTTGTGCGGAGGTATATCTCCTAGGGGGTTAGATCAGTCAGCTCGGTCTCTACCAGCTAGCTTTCTTTTCCACTCACTTTCCTTCTAGAAGGGCAGGCAGAAAAGGCAGATATGTAAAGGGAGGGCAGAGAGGGAAGAGAGAGAGGAGTAAATAAATACCCTTAAATGAGCAAAAGAAAACACACCCGGCGCCAACTCCACAAGACCCGGCACCCTCTCCCTCGTCGTGACCTTGAACCCCCCATACCGCCCGGCACACCCCTCGAGCAACACGCCCACGGCAGCCCCAACAATATCTTTACAACAGTGTACATCCCTCAGTCGCAGCCGTTCCGTCGCCTTCCTCGTCCTCTTAGTTCTCTTTGTTGTTCCCTCGTCCAGAACGGCCATGAAGTCATCGATGGCAGCGCGGTCATCGGGATCCAACAGACTCTGGTATGCGTACATGTATTCCTCACCTGTCCTTCTTCTTTTGCTGTTCTCTTGGGTGGCATTGTCGACCCCCTCCTGGAGGATGCACACATCCATGGAGCAGGAGACCTCCCTCATCCCTACAACGTCCGCACCGTCGGGAGCAACCATCCCGGACGATAGGTCGGGGTGCTGCACCGAGAACGATAGGCCGTCACCTACATGCACCAGGCTGACTCCGAGTCTATGCAAGGACTGCTGGAATACATTAGTGTAACACCTTCCACTTGCTGCTCTGCCAGGACAGACGGACCTCGTGATTTCCGATCCAGGAAGCAACAGTCGCACAGAGCGGTACCTTCTCCCCCATGCTCCCCAGCGATACGACAAGTCGTGTACTGCCCTCCCTCTGTATCCACAGATGCTCTTCTCTTGCCCTGACAAGGTCGTCTATATTCTGTACGTGACCCTCCATATGGGATGGCAGGTCGATTGTGATAGTCGACTGCACAGTCATCTCCAGGTAGGTGCTAGGGCTTATACTCTGACGTCTTGTTCTTGTATGCCTCGTCGTCGCTATATGCACTTTCGGCAGGTTGAATGTTCTGGAGATCATTGTGTGGAGGACTTTGTAATTTTCCAACCTTGGAGACGGATGAGACGGATGTATGTTCATTAGACAATGGACTGTGCCGACAAAGAAGAAGAAGAAGAAATCCTGAAAGAGGAGGAAGAAGAAAAGGAAGAAGAAAAAAAAAGGTAAGGCCATGGGATGTAGCATCGCACCTTCCATATCGCACGTACACCAGGGTCACCACCATATTCACTGCTGTCATTCTGTTAGCAACTAACTCTAAGTACTACTAAGTGAGTATCTACCAACTACAACTACACTACAGTTTTCAATCACCCCAAGGCATGTGTTCATCCTACTGCACCATCCATCCATCTCTCTCTCTCTGTCTTTCTTCTCTCCAAGGGGRGGGGGGGGGGGGGAAATACCCCGTTTCATTCGTCAGTTTTCTAAATATGTGTATCCATTCATCCATGCCCCATGTTTGAAGCTCTAAAAAAAAGAAGAAACCAAAAAGAAGTTTCAAATGAAGAGAAAAAAAGGGGAAAAAAACATCGACTCGCTTGGATCATATCTGCATGGCACTCCCCCTTACCTTCACCTCCTCACTTGGCAAAAAGCAACATCGGCTTCTTATCGCCACTTCTCCCTACTACCCCCTACTTGGCAAACCACGGAAAGGCCTTCTTCCTACTAGGCTCCGTCGAACCTCCACTTCCACTTTCTACCTGTACGCTTCGTTGGTAGATTTCCTGGAGAATACGTTAGCATGACGTTTACATGAAACATGCGAGAGGAGAGAATCGAGCAAGAGGAGAAGGGAGAGACCAGGAGAGCATACCTCGTCATCAGTCGGCATTCGGCAACCCAGAATAATCCCTCGAACAGTATCATGCTTGCCCAGGTTCGGATACGGCGTACCCTGGCTCCTCATTACGGGCAGGAGCACCTCGCCCAGCACCTCAAATTTCTTCCAATTGATGCGGTCCCCCTTGGGCCCGACAAAAGTCTTGCTGCCTTCCTCGGCCGACACGAGATCTCGCCTGTGTAGCGGGATGAACGGGATCCGGGGCAGTGGGGAGTTCTCCCACGCCAGTCGGTAGGCAAAATGGCTCTTCTGCGTGCCCATCAGGATGACGAGCCGGGCAAAGCGCTTCTGCACCTCGGCGGGGACCAGGTTGCGCGTCTGGGCCAGGCGGTGGATGGCTGTGCCGTTGATGCCCGCCAGGATGGCCGCGAGACCGTTGTAGTTGTTGAGCTGGCGGAGCTTGAGAGCAATGTTCATAAACTTCTCCAGAATCTGAGCGCGGTGCTTGGCCTTGTCGCGCAGCAGTATCATGTTGGCCACCCACTGCGCCGTGTGGTTGAAGTGGTTGATCATGCGGTTCACGTTGCGCAGGCCCTTGCACTTCTCCTTCTCCGCCGGCGACAGGCTGACGTGCCGCACAAAGTCGCGGATCCGGATCGACGAGAACAGAACCCATTCGATGCGTGTCAGCTCGTCGGCCACGTCGTCGACGGGTATCTCCATGAAGCTGTGGTAGCGTGTCTTGTCCATCGGCAGGTGCTCCGTCGGCTCCATCAGCGCCGCTTCCTTCTCGTACAGGTCGTACTGGTGATACTGCGACTGGCCCGACATGCTCAGGTCCCTGTCGACGTCGGAGCATTCCGACAGCCTACCGTCGTCTTCGAGGCTGAGGCCGCCGACGCCCGCTGCGGCGTCGTTCGCGTCAGAGAGGGGATCCGCGGTCCCGTCCGTGTTGGCCCAACCTGTGTCGTCGTCCTCGGTTACGCTGCGGTGCAGGGTCTGCCGCATGTGCTGCGCCGAGATGGAGAAGATGGGCTCCGTCGCCAGGTGCCTGATGAGCTCCTCCAGAGCCCGTCTGGTGCCCGCACGCGCAAAGTCACCAGGGTATAGCGACACCCATCTGGCCACCACCTCGATGATTCTCAGCTGCGTCGCCGTCTTGGTGAGGTAATGCGACGTCTTGTCGTCCCTAACACGGTCCAGCCGCGCCAAGATAGCCGAGAACAGCTCTCCCGGCGCAGCAAATTTACGGTACAGGCACAGGAAGATGTCGGAGAAGTTGGCGTCGGCCTTGGACAGCCGGGGGGCGAGGAGTCGGTCTACGAGTTCGTCAAACGTCACGCCTGCTGCCTTGGAGTTCTTGTCGGTTCCGCGATCATCATTGCGCTGCAGTATAGGGGTCTCATCTGAGTACTGGTCGGATTCTTCCATATCGGGGAACGTATCGCCAGGTCTATCAAGACGCATGCCTATGATAGAGCCAGTCAGCATACCGTCTCGTACGTCTGGTTGTCCAGAATCTCTGGGCAAAACCCTCCGGGTTCTGCTACTGACCTGGTCGAGGACTCTTGGAGGCCTGGTGTCGGCCATTGTCTGGGTTGGGGGTGCTGAACCCCTTGAGTAAGGAGAAGTCGGAGCTTGCCCGACTGTGCTTGCTCTGCTGGCTGATGGGTCGAGTGACACCGGCATCGGGCGCTTCGAGGTTCGACTGGGCCCTTCTTCGTGAGAAGACTTCGCCATTCTCCTCTGCAATAGGCTTAACAACTGAGGGTCATAGAGAGAGGGGAGGGGGGTTGGTAGAAAGGAGGAAGACATACGCCTTCGGTAGCCTACGGCAGCTCGAAGAATAGCTTGAAGGCAGGCACGGCCAATCTCCGGGTTATCGGCCGAGACCTTGTATGCACCTATGCAGGCCTGGAAGTGCTTGTGCCCGGCGATACTGTCGGGGTCAACCTCCCAGTCGTCTACGGCGTTTTCGCACTTCGTGGCCACGAGCATGGCGGGGAGTCCGGAGTTCGTCAAGGCAGCTGCTTTTGTTTTTTGGTTTGCGGGGAAGTGGTCAGTCAAGGGCTGTCCGTATTGTCTGAGTGGCATCGGAGGTCTAAAAGGTAGGGGAAGGATAGAAAAGGGGGGTAGGGGTAAGGTGGTTGAGGGTTTGTGGCCAACGTAACCTACCCAGCGTCTGGGGAAGATCATGAACCGTGTCCTCGTCCATGACATCGTAGAGTATGAGGGCGGCATCAACTCGGGGCACAATGTGGCCGTTTATCTGCTTCGGCCATTGGATCGGTTGCGAGGGGGCGCTGAGTTCAAAGTGTTCAAGGTCGAGCTCGACGAGGGTGATCATGTGGGTTGTAGTGTCGACAACCATGCGTACGCTCGACGAGTTGGTGATGGGCCGGCGCGGTAGACCGAGGACGTTCTGGATAAAGGTCGACTTGCCGACGCCTGTCGAGCCGATGACGGCCACGTTGAACGACTCCATGTTTGGAGGAGCCGAGTATTGAAACTGTAGAGAATCACACGATGACGGCCAAGGAGGTCATCGTCGGTCGATCGGTCAGCAAAAGAGGTCCAGCCAGCAGATACGGGCACGCGCATTGATGAAACGCCCCCTGTGAAACGCCCCCCTATCCGATTCGGGGGTTAGAGCGGTGGAGCCACCGTCTTCGGACATTGTGGGAGGGGAGCTTAAAAAAAGGATTTATGGCCCTTCGTTGGGTGGCATCTCTTATGCCGACAACAGACAACAAATAATGACGACAATAGCAACTGCACTGCTATAACCAAAAAAAGGGGGGGAGGGGGGGTGGGGGAGAAGAGAGAAGACGAGAAAAAAAAGAGAAGGACAGGGAAATAACGAGCTGGCGGCATTGACATACCCAGAGCTGTGATCTAGGTTTTAATGACTCCTGACGCGGAGGAGGCCAAGCTCGAGCTGGCCGCTTCTCATGGCCCTCGTTGGCAGGGCGTGCGGGGCAGCCGTCTTGGAGCCAAGGCTGGTCGTAGTCGTCGCGTGCCTCTGCGATGACGTTGTAGGCCTTGAGGAGGGGGTCGTCTAGGATGGAGTAGAAGGAGTCTCGGTTGGCCTTCAAGAGGGCGGCGGATCGATTGGTGGCGGAGACGCGGTTGGCGGAGCCTTGGACGGCGTGCAAGGCGCGGCTGGCGGTAGACGAGGTATTGAAGCCGAAGTTTGACAGTCGGCGGCGGGTGGTAAGTGTCGGTGACCGGGTCGGGGTGGATGTCTGGCTGCGATTGGAGGCGTGCGACGGCGCGGAGGGAGAGCTGGCAGGGGAGGTGTGAGTATGCAGAGTGTCGCGAGGCATTGTGCCGGTAAATTAGTCGTCATGCGACTGGAGAAGACGGCGATGCGTGCGTGCGTATGTGTAGGGCAGGTGCAAGGTTGATGGGAGGGGCCAAGGTGTCGTCGCCGTCGCCGTCGTGACCAAGATGTGTTTACAGGTCTGGCCGTAGACGACGGGAGGAGGAGCCATGCACAGATGCGTAGACTACTGTCCGAGTATCTGACCGTATGGGAGAAGCAGTATGCGGCATGTATGTATGTTTATACGTGTAGCGACAGCGGTAATTTCTGGAACCAAGGCGGAGTACGAGAGAGGGTTCAGGGTTTGTGACATGGTGGTATCGGGACCATAGCCCAGGCTCGGCGAGGGAAGACGGACGATGAGGGGAGAGGGCAGTAGGAGGGGGGGGGAGACGGACAATGGCTCTGCGCTTGCGCCCAAGATACAGGCAAACGTGTGGGGGGTGGGGGGACATCAAGACGACGGCATGGCAAGGAACCTGTCAAAAAAAAAAAGCGTACCTGTTGATGATGTATCACGAGATGGACGAGGCTCAGGCTCGACGATATGCAGAGCGGCATGTGTTGAGGCGGCGGGCTGGATGGGTGCGTAGTGGGCGATGGCCAGGTCGGTGAGGGTTTGCGGGACCCAGCTGGCGGAGACGAGCTGCTTGCTAGAACTGGGGTATTGCGCCTGCCGAATGCCTGTGAATGGGTCCCAGCGACGTAATATTTGGATATCTGCAGGTGAGGAAGTGGATTGAGCTGGGTTCGGTCGGGGGTCGCTGTGGCTATCAAAAAGGGCGAGCTGAATCGCAACGGCAGATGGAGGAGAGATGTCTCTCTGGAGCCCCCCTGGACTGAAACCCCCTCGTCTGCGTCGTTTACGACAGTAATCTGTAGCAGTGGCAGTATTACTGCTCAGTGCTCGCAGTGGTAGTACCTGGTAATAATACTCCGTCGACTATTACTCCGCCGGTCGTAGCTAGACAGAGTCGGAACTTGTGTGGTGACACTGGCG